TATATCTAAGAAATTTGGCCGTTATTAGCCCACAATTGTGCTGAAATTTTAAGCGACACTTCGTTTACACCTCTTAATATCGCTTGACGGGTGGTTGCTATTCAAAAGTTACTTGCAAATTTTTAGCAAAAAGAATATTTTGGCAACGACTAATAAGTAGTTTTGGTTCTAAGCTAAAGCTGTCATCGCGATGAATGATGACTTTATAGAATAGCCAGAACATCAGAAATGACATTTACAGCGCATTCAAAAAGCTTAATTGAAGTATATCTTTTTCTTCAAAAAATCTTAAAATTAATAAACTTGAAAAGCTGTTAAATTTTAAATGGACCCGCGAGCTTTTTTGATATAATATCCAGTCTAACCTAAGATATAAACGACATCTGCAGTTATACCATTATAGCCCATTACCCCCGTCATCTTGTTTTTTAATTAACTTTCATTAATACTAACAAGCAGTAGTTTAGCTATAAACCTACACTTTACGGTTGCAACCCTCCTAAGATACTGCAGCACCGATTCAACGATACCGTTGCAGCTTTCCCATTACAATACTTGCATGCTCTAATTCAGCTAATTTATCGATAGAATATCTATTATCTTATGAGAATATTTTAGCAGCCTTCCTGCACACAATACCAACGTGGTTTAATATATAGTTCATGTTATTAAATCTGATATTCCATTACAACTATCTGGTTGGAGTAATCACGCGCCATCACTGATTTAGTGCTATGTGTCAGTGACCACAATGCAGTTATTCTTGGTAAAAGTACTTATTACTTTCTTCCAGAATTAATTGTCCCGCTGAAATGCCAGTAACCCGTTATGTCTTTGGAGTGAACTTAATGCACTGCAGCGTAAAATAGAACTAAACTAAATTTTACGTAAGCTGTGCATGGAAATTCAGACTCACAGCGCCTGTCTGAGGTATTACCTAACCCTAAATCCACATTTATTCCCGCCCTCCAATTAGAAATTTTCAATCTCTATACCCCATTGCGCTTATTGCGTTTTCCTACCATAGCTATCCTACACTTAACAGATTAACCATCTGTTCTCTAGTCTGTCATCGATGCGCTTTACCTCTCGTGTAGAGTTTGGAATGGACAGATTTCTATTATGAACCTTTCACAAATTTTAAGTGATTGTGGAATAAATTGCCACCTCACGATCGTATGCTGAAAACATAGCTTACATTTTATTAACAGTGAACTACTGCGGCAAAAATCACCATTTTACCCTCGTGGTGTAAATGAGAAAATTGAAATGTCCTATATTTTTTTTTACTTATTTACCATACTCAAATCACATGGGTATGGTAATTTATTTTAAAAAGTGTAAACATTTGAATATGGTAAATAAGCATAGTATGGTATCCTAGAGGAGAAAAATGCCCCCTGGAGAAAAGCAGCGGAGGAAAGCAGAAAACTAAGAAATATGAAGTGACTGAAGATGATTGATATTTCATCAGCTAATTCGCAAATTTATCGGTTCATCATTATATGGCCACGTGTCTTGCAGAGATCTGACCGTTGGCCTCGGCCTCGTTCTCAAACACATGGTTGGTCTCCTGATCTTGTGGTTCGTCAGGTTTAGTCGAGCACGGGCTTCGTCGCTGTTAGTAACTCGTGAAGAACTGATTTATTGGCTGGAGACTGACAGCATCGGTTAGTGGTTAGGGCTTTTACAATCTAAATACGTTCAAACTAGCCCCTGTTTATTGTTTACACTTTCAGCCGTAACGAATATATCTACACGTGCATAGTTATCAAATTTGGTAATAAATATTGCATTATCCTTAGCTATCTATGACTATTAAGTTGATGTAGTATCCTCAGAACATGATAAATTTGGAGGCAAAGATCTTGTATAGCGCTGAAAGTCGACGCTCAGTAGTTAAGTTTCTGCGTTTCGGAGGTAAGGCTGTTAGTAAAATGCATCGGAGATTGGTTGACTTTTCCTTAAACGGATATCAGGCCATTTTTCGCCTACGGGAACGATACTTAAAAAAATTGCATTAGTTATAAACCTACTCCGATAACCCGGCCGACACAAAATTAAAAACGTTGTGTTAAGGTTTTTTCCCCAGCTATTTACTTTGGTTTTTCTACAGAGGATTTCGCTTGTATGAGCCTTATAGGAATGGAAACGGAAAGTCGGAAGGAATGATATACTCCTTTGTTTAAAAAATGGTCACAAATTGATATGTGTTTATTTAAGCGTTACAATTCAAGTTGTCCGATTGGAAGTAATCCCCGTCGGATGCAACGTACCTTCTTCGCCACTCCTCAAAATACTTTTATTAGAACATTGGCATAGCTTTCAGTTACGTCAGAAATTCACTTTTATTTCTTCGATCATATCGAACCGTTCCCCTCTAGACTTTTCCTGAGTTTGGAAGACGCGAGGTCCGGTCAACACGGCTGTTGGGGCAATACACAGATTCGAATTTTTTATGCTGTACGAGTAGCGAAGTTTGGGCCGGTATCTTATCGTAACGAACAATCCAATGATCGTTTTGTCCCAGTTCTGGGACTTTGCGTCGTACAGACTTGCGCAGTCTTCTTAAAACCTTTTGAAATACTCCCTAATGATAGTGAAGCCGGGCGGTATAAGCCATGATGAATAACTCTTCGACGGTCGAAGAAAACCGTAACGAACAGATCCCTCTTCGGTCGAAAATCGTTTTCAAACGACATTAAAATATCGTTCCGCACCCCCTCGTTATGGCCTTACACTTACATTTGATTACGTGTAATAATATGCAAGCAAGCAACTGTCCTAGAAGGGTCCAAAGGCTTTCTTGACACACTTGCATGTGTGTTCATCTGCTAGACATTCAGCTGTTTCAGAATCAATTTTGCCGTAGGCTTCCTTACGTCTAAACAGTCGACAAAAACGGCCTGACAGAAACCAAGAAATCTATCCTTTCTGCTAGCTCCCTTATGATGATTCTGTGATTGACAAACATAGGTTGTTTCACTCTTTCCACGTTCTTGTCTATAGTCACTGTTTGCCTTCCAGAGTAAGAATCGTGCTCTACGAGCGCTCTAGCTTCTAGTGCTTAAAATAAATTATCCATAACCTACTGTCATAGTTAATGCGTGTGTATACATTTACCACTGGTGTATGTGGGCGACGAATTTAGCGTAACTCTCGATGGGCGACCCCCGGTGAGCAACGATCCGATCGTGGGGTCGAAGACCAGCTGCCTGAGCAGCCCCACACTCTCGAACTTCACGAACAACCACCGCATCTAACGGCTTTCCTTCCACCCACCAGGGCTCTGTTGAAATAAAGTAATATGCAAATAAAAATGATTACAAGTCTTACGTGTAGAGCTCTCGATATTAACATTTTCACTCACTGAATATTTTCCATAGAACATTCTAAGTTGAGTTATTCGTGGATGGAAGATTGACACAATAATTAAATCTAAATTTGCTAACGGCACCGAATAAATTAAGGTATAAATTGAGGTATACACAATAAATTCCAAAATTCGAAATTAATGTTTGAAAGGTTTATTTAGCTTAGAAGATTTTTTCTAATTAGATTATAGGGCATTAATCTTTATGACCTGGATCACTGAAACTTGCATAGGGTAGCACAGGGCCGTCCAGACATTCATGGACTTAATGGCAACGCATCGGTAGCGACGATTATTTGCAATACAGATCAACTGCTGGAAATTGCAGAATTACTTTTTCTTCTTATTGTAGTTCATTTATTTAAAGCGCACTTCTAAACATTTTTAGTACAGTGCACGTACTAAGCTATAAATTTCTTTATATTTTTTATTTTATAAAGTACAGTACTCACCGATATCTTTTGGCCGTTTGCCCAAGGAGGTGGCAATCTGAAACGTTGATCAAAAAGACCACTGCTGAAAAAGTTTAGTAACGTATCTTTACACAGAATATAGACAAAGAAGTGATTTTAATGGCTCCCCTCTGATTGTTTACGAAACCATTGTTATCGCTTTGACTGAGGCTCTGCACATTAATGCGTCTCGGAACTACTAAAAAGGATTCCTCGATGAGTCTTACTCAAATGATCACCATGTACTACGGTAATTAAATTTTCAAAATTGAAATAGATAATTATAAAACTGTAGCCGCATTACAATTAAAAGCATTATAGTGCCATGTTTAATAGTTATCGCTATAGCTTCGTTAAAGACAGGGTTACTTCTGTCGAAATAATAGACATGGTGCAAGATCAGAATCGAAACTTTGTGTCTGTATACACCGATTTTTTCAATTTCTTCAATGTAGTCGCTCATTTCCGCCTAATATAACCGGCATTGACCCGAAATGTTCTATAAACACTGCCACCAGCCTCCGCGCCTTGGCATCACTTATATGTGTATGTCGCCTGCGCGTATATGTACATAATCGAGCCGTTTCGAATCGAAATGAATCTCAAACAACAATGCGATATTCTATAGGTACAATGAATGATTTCCCGCTAGCATCGTTATTTAAACGTAGCGCTTCCACTGCCCTTCAAAATCGCGTATGAATAAAAGTAAATTCCAAAAGGGTAACTTAAATCTGGTCAAGGCAAGAATGGTTTAAGTGCGGAAGAAGTTGGAGCGGAAAAGGTGAAAGTGGCCGCTAAGTTCTAAAAAGACGCATTCGACCTATCTAGTGTATTTTAGTTACACTCTAAAAGAACTTTATGCTTTTCAAAGATTGATGGAAAATGTGTATCAATCTAAATGAAACTTAACATTGGAGGCAAACTATCCCAAAACAAGGCTGACTACCCTGCAGCTTTTATGTTAGCTCCGATCATTTTGTGACGGTGTATGACAGTTGCGTATTGCCCAAAAACTTCTACATATTGTTTTAGAACAATACTGAAAGACCTGGTACGTCAGTTTTTATTTCAAATATCCGTCAGTGAGGGAAATATATAGTTTAATTTTTAATTTGATTTTATTGAATGGGTACTTCTCAGCTTTTTTCGATTCCATATTTCCTTTGGCGCAATGTACGGAAGTTCCTTGAAACTGTATGATACACGTGATAGCCTCCTTGAAAAAGCTTTTTTACCTTCAATTAATATTACTATATACTATAAGGCCAGGAAGTTATGAACTCTTGGTATGTTTCTGTTTTCTCTGATTGTGTAGAGTCTGGACAGCGCGCGAATCTATCCTCATCAGCTTGGGTGTTCTTATCATTTTTCAAATTTGAAAATCAACATTTAAATAACATTACTTATAAAACGATATAATACCATTTTCGGCCATCTTGCTATTAATCACATTCATTTTTACGTAACATTGTATGGTAACTAGGTAGCTCCTAAATACCTTCTATAGATATAAAAAATTTCATCTGTGAATTCAATTGTCGGTGAGAGCTGGTGTGTGCGCCTATTACGTTCGAATCCGTAGGCAAATTCCAATAAGTTACCATACTAAAATCTTTTAGAATCGGCAAGAATAAGTTCGATTTCGGTTTAATCCGACTGTCTAGCGCCTAGGCGAGAGTAGGCCTTAGTGTTACTAGACAGCGACATGCTTAATTTCGAAATTGAAGACCACTATAGCAAAAGGCGCGAAAGGTAACTACCTTGTGAATGTGAGAGGGATAGGCCACAACGTTACGCAATGTAAAACCAAAGCCCTCTGGACGTCTTTCGATCGAAATCGGTCGCGAATGGGGCCAACGGCGCTGTTCTTCACACGGACCAAGCACTAGTACCCCATCGGCATCGTCATCAGGGCCAACGCAGTAATTTAGTCCACTCTTTAGCCGGGTCTCAACTCGTATTTCCCCTATTAACTTCAAATCTTTATCATTGCAAATGTCACTTTGTTCAGCTCCTACTTTTTTTTGTTCTCCTGTAATATACGATAGCACACGAAAAGAACAGCTATGTAAGTTGTTGTGATTCTTGAAGACTGAATGATGATGCCTGATCATATTATGTTAGTATAAATCTCACCGCCTAAACCACTCCCGTAATAGCATAACATTTGTTATTTGTATTGTATTGGTATTTGTTATGTAAAGTTAACAAAAAAGTGAAAGTCGAAAGTAACTACATTATAGATAGGATTTAATGCTTCTATAGAAGTAGTAAATTTACCTTCAGCTGGCACTTGGTATATAAGATCCTTTAATAATTGGCTAGCTTTCTTGTGAATTTTTGTACTTGTGTACTTGGTGATTGTTACATTGGCGACCGCTTTTGCTTGACCTGAGAAGCTAACTGATATTAAAACCTATTTTCCTATATTCTTATTATGGTCTTTAGAAAGCTACTCAGCAAGGACACATTAATATATTAGCACGAAGAACAATGTATGGTTTCACATCAGCTCTTAGACATAAAACACTGAAGCGTCTGCAAAGACATATTGCAACATTATTACCGGCATGGTTTTTCCTAACGAGGCCCTTCTCTAGTTTTTAAGTATACTTTCTTGTGAGACAGAAAACAAATCATTGAAAATCAGTAATGTGGAGGTGATTGGGATACCTTCTATGGAGAAACAATAGCTGGTGATTTAGGCAAATGAAACACTGTAATTGTATATCGTACTCCCGTTTCGTTTCCGAAAAACTACTGCCGTTCGCCCGGCTTCGTTTGCATCTGCTTGTAAAGCTCGTTTCCACATCTTGCCAAAACTGGCACAGGACGGGCTCCTCTGTAATCTTGGCCTTGAACATAGTTTTTTTTTTGTATTGACTACAACGTAGAGGGGGCTCATAATCCGAGCAAGATCCTATGTAAAACGTTAATGATAGGAAGACAAGCCGACATTTTGACCCCCGTCGGCTGCGCGGAGTTTTTACTACCCGGACCTTAAAGTTCCGGAAAAATCCTTACGGCCGTGATCTTATAGCTTAGATATACCACTGGGTTGTGGAAATGCATTTGTTTGCAGATCACGTGAGTGTCGAAATCAGATGAGTAATATACCGTTTACTCGTCTGATTGTTAAAGCAGAATCATCTGGTATCTCAGAGTCTCAATGACCATAGCCTTTAGAACTTCGCGGATGCGTTGCTAAAGCCTAACGGCATGCTGGTAGAGTCTGTATGGTGTGCAAAATGGCGTTTTCATATTGTTATATGGGTGCATGATGGTCTGTTAAATCCAAGGATAAAGCAGAGGGCGCCAGTAAGGGCAATGCTGCGTAAGCCTGTAATAGTTGACGCTAAAACGTATTGTCCTTTTTTTTTTTCTCTTCACCAGTACTACCGGAAAAGACTACGGGCTGTGTGAAAGTTTTACGATGCTTTGTGCATGCATTTTTTCGTGCTCGCTGCATTTCCGCAAAACAGTGTAATCCTTGAACTGAATGGGAAACAGCTCAGAACCCCGCCCAGTTGTGGTAGCGCTGATTACCTTGGTCGGGTTCATTTGGGAGTGCTGCGCACACTGCTGCCCATGGTAATATGACGTACCCCCAGCGGCCCTACACTAATGATTACAAGGAGTAATTGTCCTTCATTATAAGCGGAACCTCCTTGACAAAAATGGCTGGCTAAGGATAAGATCTTTCGCGAGGTTGGTACGGAGAATGGTTACTTTAGTTTGTCGTCAACCGCAATATTAACTAAGTCCAAAATCGTCGACGGTGTGTCTGAGCACCGTACTGCTAAACGAGCTACGACGGCCTTGCGAAGCACAAAAATATCGATAATCCCGTTAATGCAAAAAAAAATTACGCTCTAAAGGAGAAAAGGCTGCAAGCACTGGTCCCTAAAGTCACCTCGCTCCCTGCAATTATTGCTGGGCGTTCAATGAGCTTGCTTAACGTGTTACGTTCGTCACCATTCATAGATTCAAATAAATTGTTTGATGTTTTAGGTTCCGATATTTCCAGGAGAGTCACGCGAGCGTTTAAAAATTTACCGAGGCAGCCCCAGTGAGATAATTACGAAATTATCATTCACGCACGTATCTTTGTCTTCGGAATCCCTTGAAAGCTTACAATAGCCCTGTTGGTGTGCCATGACGCCCTTCTCCTGGAAGCAGATACTTTGGTGAATCGACAGCCACCTTTTTTGTTCTCAGACTACCTTGTCTTGAACTGTGCTTGACACTACTGAGGTCGTTTCGAACGCTGCTTGCCCCATAACCATTCCAAAACATGGCGTTGCCGACTGGAAACGACCTGGGTTCGATCAGCCATCGCTGCCATCAGAATCGTGCAAATGACGAATCTGTTACTTTCGAAATGCGATTTATTCGGCCTAATGTAGCCCCTTATATACAGATCTGAGCTGCATTTATTTTGGAATCATTGTATTTTTAATACGCGCAGCGCGCATCTTTACAATATTTTCATAAATGTATTTACGTACATGTAAACGGTTATTATTATGGAATTATTAGAATTTATTAGAATTTTTGTTATTAACGACTTTATAACCTCTAAAGAAAAAATACACCAAAAATTTTCCGAAATCAAAGCCATGTGAAAGTATATATCGGTCCCTACGCGGAGAAGATTAATTTAGTACTCCACCAGATTTAGCCATAAGCGCTAGAGGTGGATTTAAAGATGTTCTCAATGTACTGGGGAACAAACGTAAAAACATGACAAACCCATCGAAGAAATGTATTTCTAAAAAACTTTGCAACAATGTACATATTTCGCTGTGCCGTGCAGAGGATTCTAGCTCCTGACAATACATGATAAAACAAATAGAAAAATGTAATATATAATATGATACAATAACAACAATGAGATACGGTTCCATCTTCTTAACCAATCATGGCTTGAAGGCAATGGATCATTACGGAACAGAATACCATCGAACCACTGCACGCCGACTTCGAAGGGCATCTTATAAAATTGTTTAAATTCAGGTTTCTTAAAATTCAAATCTTTGACAACTATCAACATTTGTATTGCTGCCTCATTTATTTGATGAAATTAAAGACAAATTAACCATCTCTATCATTTATAAATCATTACGGCAACATATTTTACACGACAGGTGTAACTAAATAAACCGTTACCATGTCTCTATGAAACAGCACGGAAAACTAACTAAAGAGCTAAGCAAGAGAAGATGTATAACAACTACAAGACACTGAATAAACTTAACTGAAAACTGTATATAGGAGATTGCATAGAGTATTCAATCTCACATACTTATACCACTAACACCAATAAAGTGATTCAAAGCTTTAGACTAAGAAGTATTCAAATAATTTTAGAAAGTTAATTGAGAACGTACATTTGAGTGTCAGGGATCTAAAATACTTGGACCTTATTTTACATGCTTTCGATAAGAAGCGAAATTCAGTTCTCGGTTATTGGATAAGCTACAGAAACTAAGAGAAAAGACGTTCGATGAGATCCTCTTCTCGATTCTATTACTATGTAATACTAAATAAACATACAAAGATTTAATTATGCTTGGTTTCACTTGATTAATAGCGAAATTATTAGAGAATTAATCGTGACTTGAAAACAATGGTCGCAGTAGTCTCTATGCAAAAACTGCAAACAATGCGGCTGCCACTAAAATGCTTTGCACTAAAATACACGCCGCATGGATTGCTTAAAATCTAACAAGAGCTAACAGTCATCGGTAAAGCCTCAGAAATTGGTGTCCTGTCTTAATACATTACACAACCAACAACAAGCCAGCCACAAATTAGCCAAGTCTCATCGTTATTTGCAGACATTTGCAAAAGGTTCAACCTTCTGTCGTAACACAGCGCATCTCCGTGGACAGACAGCAAAAGAACACTTCTCGTTCTTCATAATGCCAGGAATAGCCAATGCTCTTTTGAAATATGCAAATAAAACATATTCACTGGTTTGCGATTCATAGGGTCATCATCTGAATGCGAAACGTACAGATGCTATAAGACAAATGAAAGCTGTACCTCATTAATTTCGTAAAACTGCGTAAATTATTTATATCAGGATAATAAATAAAAAGTTTTTATCTACTACGTTTTTATTCGAGTCGCATCAGATCTTCGATCCGCAGTTTTGCTTTTCGGTCGATCGGTACCAGTATTATACCTGATCAGTGCGCAGTTTACGAACGCCATTTGTGTGTACACTAGCTACCATTGGGCGCCAGCGACCGAATAATATCTCCTGGAAGGTTTGCCGTTGTTTCGCTTTGCATGTAAAATCTCTTGTGTAATATTTGAGCAGTGTGTATCTTAATAGGCTAACTATATCACTTGCTTAGTCAGCCGCTTGTGTAGTTGGGCCCACTTCTTTGGCCCTATTTCGTCAAATAATAGCAAGGGCTTTTAGCGTTCCAAACGCCCGGAACAAATCACTTGCCAGTTCAACTTTATAAATGTCAATGCATTTTTTTTCTATAGCTGACTTTCAGCTACTCTTTCTTAGACAAGCCTTTGTACCTCTGTTTTACCATTGCTTCAAAAGCTTGTCCGGATAGGAGAGTCAATTTGAGTAGTCTAGAGGCACCGCGCCAAAAAAATATTATTATCTTCATTAGGTCTAATTTCTATTGATTAGATTTGCTGGAAAAATTGAACCTGGAGCACCTCCATGGTCCTTCGATTAATAGACACACGTTACAACTGCACGATTATGTGGACATTGAGGTTTCTATAATGTACGCGTCCCACTAGACTTGTTTACCTTGTTTTGCAATCAGTGATTTCTTCAGAGAGTCAGCGTCCTCATTGATGTCGCCTGTTTTTGCTTCTGCGTTGCATGCATCCTGTTCCTGTAAAGAAATTCACTCATTATTACTTGTCATTATCTTTATCTTTTTCATTCTCCATAAGATTAAATGTATTTTAGTAATTCCATATAAAATCACTATTTCTATTAAATTATATTCTATTGGAAACCAATTTTATTAATGGGCCAGGTTATAACAAACAGCTCGAACTATCGAATTTGTATCTAGATTACCGAGTACTCTGTGGTTTGTGATAGACAGCAGTGGTAAAGACCATAAACAAATGAGTGAATGGCGCAATTCATAGGGATGTAAGTTTATTCGGAGGTACAAAAAGGTACTTGGTAACTGAGACGGTAAATATACGTAATAATAAACTTCTTCGAAACAATCATAGAGATTTTTGAAAGATATTCGGTACTGATATATCGTCCTTAAACCTGTTTGAATAGAAATTTGGAAAGGCTCATATGATTCGTTTATAAGAAAAATGTAGAAACATACATGGACTACTGAAAAGTTGCTTGCCATTTATTTAAGGTACTCGCACGACTATTCGCAAGTAGGCGTCCAATGGTGTACGTGGTATGTCAAACATTTAGAGATCGCAATGCGCATATCTTCCGAGTTGATCACATCTAGGGTAACTCGTTTTTATCTACATATATACAGCTAGTAAAGAGTAGAAACCATTCTAAGTCTACCAAAATAACAATGTGCCTCACTCTAGGTACCAGGCTTTCATACCATTGATTTAGCGGCAAGACTTCTATTACTTAAAATAATATTGGTTACCACTACAAAATATTGGAATAGCGGCTGCAGGTAAAATCAAATCAGAAAAGCTTTTTTAAGCTAACTCATCTAGAACAAGAGAAAGAAGAGCCTTAGCAGCGGCTTAGCAACAGCCGCGAGAGGACTGTATTATACAGGGGTTTTATGACAGAATTCGGAAATGCTCGTATAACCCTGCCTTGTGTTCGAAAACAAGATATAAAGACATGGTTGTCTAAGATGATGCTACCCTAACGAAAGAAGAGAACGGTATTGGCTTAAAAATTAGACGAGGTATATTTCGATCACTACAGTTCAGACGTACTTTCAACACCTTCAGGTTAAGTAAATCTCTGTAGCAATGAACTACTTGAAAGTTCTTCTTGTTTATAATCGATCGTGAAGTTCGAAAATCGTGAAGTTCGAAAAAGTGAATTCTTTGAAGGAATGTGTAAAAATCATTTTACTTTTAAAGGTAAGACCAAATGCTATAAATTTTTGCTTTTTCTATATGGGTCTGTGGTTTAATAGGATCTGAATACGTAGACGAAGCGGCTAACTCTACTCGAGAGCCGAATACTCCATTCGGCAAGAGAAACGACCGCTAAACGCGTCACTACGCACTCGCTTGAAACAATCAAGAGGCATCATTACAAATGAGCAATACGGTCAATACCTTTTAACTATGTAGAATATGTGCACACATTCTTCATTCAGGATGAACCTTTAACCATGCAAAGCTACATAAAGGTACGTTACGTTAGATACGTCCCTTTTTCACCAGCACTGTCAATATCGCCGTAAAAATGGCCATGGAAAGAAATATTGTTTCATGAAAATATATAAACCATCTAGAGAATCAAATAATGGAGCTAGCAGAAGATATTTTTGCTGAAATACTTGTAGACCACAAACGCACGATGTGCACTTCGGAAACTCAGGGAAGTGATATTGCATTAACTATATTTTTAAGTAACCGGAGCTTGTGTAACTATGATGAATAGGCAAATCCTTTGTTGTTGCTCTATAATTTTCTACTGCCTAAAGCAAACATGCAGAAACTCGATTGCTTCAAAACAGGCTTGGAATAATATACGAACACTATCAAAACAACTGCTATGTCATTAAGCACAATGTCCTACTCCTAAAAAAATTGCTAGTTGCTTAAGAATACTCGTACATTCTGATATCGTAGTAGAGCTAGCGCATATTGAGAATGTCATCTTAGAAAAATGAAAGGGTTCGTTGAAAAGACAGGTGTACTCCCAAATGTTTCGTCTAAACAAGTGCATTAAAATAAAGCATAAGTAAAATTCAGTTTTGTGTCATGCTCTCCCTGGACTAGAAAAAGGTATGTGAGTCGCTTATTTGGAATACGTTGCTTCAACAGCAATAATTCTTCAGAAAACGGGCGACATTAGTTCACCGGTCTGACTCTACATTATTAACACCAAATGATACCTCCACTATGCTGAAAGACGGAAAATATTCCTCAACACTAGTTTTTGCGGAGTTATATTTACATACTATAATAAAAATACCAGTACCTGAAAAAAATATCGATACGATCGTCTCACATTTGAAAGAAGTAGTCCCAGCTATTATAGTCGAAAAAATGAATAGATAAATCGACCAATTATTAATTGACATAATCGAGCATAAGCTTATATAAGCGACATAATTACTGGTTTTACTACCTGGGCTTGACCAATTATTCCAAAGAATAAGAACATCGGATTTTTAAGTCCGACTAAAAAAATGTTCCTCATCTATTTATTATTCAGCGTTTGTAAATAGATTAAAAGAAATCTGTAAACCTGTTCAAAATAAACTCTTCTGTAGGAAATGTAATCAGTCCACTTTCATTCAGGAAGTCTTTAATGAAGCTAAAAAGGTCTTAATAAAACCTGCTACTTTTTCACTTCCCAATCGGTCTTGAGGTAAAATAGAACAAATCGTTAATTACAACTCTAGCATTTGTTTGTATGGCGTTCCTGCTGCGGCTGCTAGTTTTGTTCAAAGCACTACTAACTTTGTAAAAAGAATTCCAGTTGATATATTGTTATTAAGTAATATTATTGGATGGACGACATTTATTAGGATGCCAGGAATACTGATTTATTTAGCAATTATGATGCCCTATCACGACTTTCTAGTAATCAATTGATTCATGAAGAACCCGAAGATGAAGATCTTTCACAGACTGAAAAGTCTTATACTAAACAAATCAGTTTTTATCTGCCGATGATATTAGATTTGTTATGAAACGCTAACGGTAGAACTCGAAAAACAGTCAACCTGGAAGCAAACAGTTTAAAACCCCTACAACTTTATAGTACATAACTATTTATACCCTAATTATATTTTGCCTCTCCAACCGGCGTAATTCACCATTTATAAGGAAGAGGTCTCCTAATAGGTAACAGAATTACAATACCTAAGGCTTTCCAACAGTATATATTGAAAGAACCACATGCCAATTACTTGAGTAGCATCAGAAGAAAACATACCGACACAGAAAATACGCTCCTTGAGTAACTTCACTGTACTAATCAACCTAGAAGTCCAAGAAAAATACCCATTCTAAATGGCATACAGGTACACAACCTTTTAAATAGGTACAACTTTACTTAGATGGTCCCCTAAAAAGTAAAATATCATCGTCATCATCAGAAAATTAACAGACAACACAACTATACACGCAGTATGTTTGCACATTTAGATAAACGCAATCGTCACTGAAAATGGCTGTCAATTCACGACAAACATTTGCAGACCTTACCGTATTCTTTTAAAACTGGTAGTTCATGTAATTTTTAAACTCCTCAATTTGTGCCAGCGTATTGTCAACTTGAAGCTTGACTGTTGAGATTTTATTGCTCCAGCTATCATCAGAATTTAATAAGCCTTAATAAGCAATCCTGCCTTCATTCACTGGCATGACATTTTTGACAATGCGGGGCTCTCGATCTCGATTATCGGAATGATAGGCAACCACATCGTTACTGCCCCATCCCCAAGAACAGATTTTAACTCAGCAGAGATGAATTCGTAAACTGAATAGATTTAAAAACGTGTCCAATTATTCATAGTAAACACATGGTCTTGTTGAGAAGTCACAGAACGTGCTCTTATTTCGCGAAGCTTTCGCAGTATGACGTCATCTATTTCTGTTGTGTCAATAGAGTAGTATCTTAGACTTAGGGTAGATTTGGGTAGAGCTCGTGTTGCTGAGAACGTCGGTACTAATGTTGATAAGAGTAGTTTTTAATAATTTTTCTGAAAATGTTTTTACCGCAGTGGTTACACGATTTTTCTCAGAATAAGTAATCTTTCTTTTCAGAGTGCTTTCAGTATAAACTAGTATTTCATACGTTATTTAAGGCGACGGGCAGATTAGCGGAATTCCATGTTCAGAAAACGCTCAGTGTACTAAAAAACGACGGAAAATAACATGTCTAGGAGTCGGGTATGTGCCAAAATCTTCATCATAAATTTCTCAATAGAATACTCACGCCTTTTTGGATTTCAGGAGTGCAATAAAATGTATATTTAACTTTAATGCAACATTTCGTTCAGATCAGTTTTACTGAACTTCACAAGACTAAAACCGATTCCCCCAAAATAACGTTGTAACAGTTAACTTACATTGATAATGCTATTCAGAAAACGTTTAGTCGATAATAAATGGCTGCATATTACAAGTTTTAGCACGACATACTGAAGTTGCCTATGATCACTGACAAACCTAAAAGTTTTCTTAAGCTTGTTGTATAGAACACGCCAGTTATCCGCTTAAATTTCGTCACCTCGATAACAACTTCAATTTCACACTCTTTAACCGATTTGTTACAAAATCTCCGTTTGCAACTGTAGAGGCGCTTCCTTGGTTGCACCAATATGCAAGTCGGCGTTGTTATGTCGACGAGACTTCTTAAAGTTTCGCTCAATAATATTCCATACATAACTATTCAACAGGATCAAATCTATGATATGCAATGGCCATATTTGCATATTTCTTCTTCTTTCTTTATAAATTCTTGCGGAACCGATCCCGCGCTACCTAATTAGTATATGGCAATGACCTATTTTCAGATACTCCATAATTTGTATAACTAATAGTTTATAAAACGCGCGGATAGGTTTCATTGTTGATTTTGTTTTTTTTTTAACGCTACAAATGATACCTTCACGGTGCACTATACTCAGAGCATTAAATATCGCTGGAAGTTTGCTTTTACTTACAGTAGTTACATCCTCTGTATTATAAATAAGTCAGCAATTGATTTTTACATATTCGTCACAGAAGAATTAAAAACGGCTTTCTTCATTTCTAAAAAAAGGAACAAACGATATCAACTAACTTCTCGAGGTTTAAGCGGCCTCGTATAAGACCTATAATATATGACGCAAGTATTTCCTGTACATTCCGTAATATGGTAGCCATACCCACATATCTCTTTAGACCTTAGTGAATCGGAAGTATCGTCAGAAATATCGTCTGACAGCGTCGACTAGCGAGTCCGCGCCGTTTGTGTTGCGCTAAATTGCCTTGCTTTTTTTTCACTTGCAAAGCCCTTGGGATTACCGAAGCTGTTTCTTTTTCCATCCACAAGAAATCGGATGATAGCTGATTTCGCTGAACGTTTGTTTATGTGGTCTTTTGAAAAAGCTTTTATCTAGTGGCTTGAGTGTGCGCATTTGTGAAGCTGTACTCGGCCATTTGAAAAAAATTCGAATTTAGACAGCATTCGTAGGTGGTATGCCTGTGCTGCAAAGTTTATAAGACGATTGTCTGCCAAGTTAGCCTTACAAGCACTTCAACTGACGAAATCATAAAAATGAAGATGTTTTCGTTTCAGCTAGTGCTGAGGTATCATGCAAATGACGTCCCAACTTGTTTGCGGCTTTCGGTATTATCCATGCCTTTCGGGTACTTCTCAATCAGCTTGATATACCAGGGGCCTTAATACCTCCAAGTCGCTTGAAAGCGACCCATTGTTTAAAGAGAAGGCGAACTATGTTTTACGACTTAACTTGCTTTTTCTACTTCCACAGAATGAGTGTTACAGCTTGTTCGCTTTTTTCTTGGTTCTAGAGAGCCTTCCTTGGTTCAGAGGTTTGTTTCAAAATCAACTCCTATATTTAGTCTATTGGGGTACTCATAATTACAAGTACTCGATAATATAGTGCTGATTAGTCGTGCTTTACAAACAGCCCATCCTACATGTTAAAAAATAAACCCGCTGTTAGAACACGGTGAACTACGTCATTTTTTAATAGCTAGGTGAAAGGGATCCATCTTGTTTCATGCGAATTGAATCCTTCTATTTATTATAAAGACAGGAAACCTAGTCGGTAGCATGTAAGGGACAAAATTGTATGTACAATAGTAGTATGAATAATATATTTACACAGAAGATAATCTATACAACAGCCTAAAAATAGTCAATATAGTTGTATTTAAAGGACTTTAACAGTAAGTAGCTCACCACACTTGTAGGTTCTTCAAATCCAGTGACTTCCTCGCTTACGCTATCATAAGAGTAATTACCTTGCACGACACCGACACCACCACGCTTACTAATCAAATCACAAGTTAATCCATCCTGAAAAAAATGAACTTCTAAATTGTGTACAGTATGTTTTACTATTTGCTTTTTAACTATCTATTTATTCTACATCGATTATTAAGTTGCCTTGATTACAAATGTATATTTATCAGTGTCCTACCAGTAGTGCAACCTACCATACATGTTATTGATGAAGACGATATATGCGAAAGAGGACTACTAAATTACATCGCTTACTTAGTCCTAAGGATCTCCCAATAATTACAACCTATAGCTACACTAATAATCCATAACTGTAACAATATAAACAATTACTTTCGAACCCATAAGTAATACACCTTATTGCAGCGACTAACCGTTCGGTGTGTAATTTCAAGAACTGCTGATGCGTTCTCAGTAATTGCATTTGTTGCAAAACTGCTCTCATGTGAAGAACTCTGTTCTGCTTCGGCACAGCCTAATATTTGCGGAGGGCAATGATACTTTTGAGATTTCATGGTTTCGTCAGCTGGCTTGTCGTCATCTGATGATGTAATCCTTAGATAATCTTTCGTATTGAAAGGGATCTCAGTAGAGAGCTTTGCATGCACCTGAATCTTGCAGACGTCGTCACAGCGAACAGCGGAACTGGCCCCAAATAACTGATGACTTTTATATTCGGGATATGACAATGGATTGCTTTGGCGGTTCGACAATAATGGCTCCACAAAACTGGATGTTGATTGTAGATCTCCAGCGTCCTTAACGGCATAGTGGTCCATCTTCCACCACCTCACGAAATCCGAAGACGTCTCCTGCTCTCTAGTTTCATCTTAACAGCTTTGGAATCTTGACATAGAACATTCTTCTTGATACCTGAAGATTCTGAGAGTATACTCCTTAGAGTCTATTAATTTTTTTATTGCTTACTTTATATTATGTGACTAACATAACCATTTTGTATGTAAATTTAAACACATGGCTGGTATTGTATGCATTAGACATTGGCTTATACTACTATTTTACTTTTCAATTGCATTTAACAGCGATGCGCGGCTTGAACCTAAGTATAACTTCAATGAGTTCACTGCAGCTATACTATAGCCCTACTGCACTGCAGCCATAATCTTCTGTAGTTATCTTGGCTATCCCATTTCAATATCTCATTTCGGTTCCTTCGTTACCTTGTTTTGGATGACTCACTGCATTATTCTAGCGATAATTGATTATTATTTAGTATTATTCTAGCAGATATTAGGTTACCCGGTCATAGCAACTCGGCTTGATTGCTCTTGTGGTCCCTTTGCATTACACTGATTATTAAGTTGCCGTGATTATGAAAAAACTTAACGTATATTTATCAGTCTCTTACCAGCAATGCAAGCTACCATACACGTTATTGATGAAGGCGATATATGCGAAAGAGAATTTTAATGTACTAAGTTGTAACGCTTACTTAATCTTGAGGCTCTCCCAATGAAGAATAACCGCGTTCTTATATTGCGAATTTCTTAATGATTCATGGTTTTTTGGCATCTCATCAAGGTTAGCTTCTGTTCTATCAAATGACATTACACTTTAATTTTATAGAAGTTAGCTTTGCTCAGAAAAATGCGTCCTCATAGAATATTAATTTTCCGAATCTGCATGTTCAGAAAGTGAAAATGGTGAAAGGTTGTTCTTATTAGATTTAAAACAAACCAACAACAAAATCGTTCAATCGTCAATATTGTCATTACGGTCTCCATCCCGTATACATGTAAATAGTATTCATAATAATAGTTATTATTTAAATGGTTAGAATAGAAGTCGGTAGCTTAATATTGAACCGGTTAATTTCTTGACTCGAAATATAGACTTGTTCCTACTTCTTTCTAACGAGAACAGGATATGCAAACATATTTTATATTCATAATTCTCGTTTTTCAGCGCACATAAAAATCGGATCTTTGACTACATTATTTACATTACGTACGTACAAATTGCTGTTTGTAAGAATACTACTAATTTATCGATAGATATGTATAACAAAAATGTATGTAGTAATGTGTAATAAAATGTTTTAGGTCGTCAAAAAATCTTTTTGGCTGTTGCAGCTTACAGCCGTATCTCGCTCAAAACTAGTAAGAGCAAAAAACTATCAGCGATGTGGGCTACTTGTGAAAGGGGTTTTGTACTAATTTAACCTATAGCCCAGTGTGAAGTCTAGATAGTTGTTCAAAAATGCGTGCGAAAACTGTTGATCTGCACTTCCGCTACATATAAGCGACAAGCAAAAAGAAATTCGTGTTTCTCACCTTAACAAAGCGCGAGATAAATTAGTCCTTAGATATTTGCAACCCACATATCATACTTATGCTCTGTTTTCACTACATATGAAAATGTGGAGCACTTATTTTTCAAAGAATTTTCATATTTCTTGCGCGGCAAAACTGCAAAGTGGCTCATAAAACCGTCGGTAATACAATATCACTCACATTGACTTTTTCATTAAACTGTAATACACAGTATCATTCAACATAACCAATGCTCGACTGCAATAAGGCCAGCCGCACGACTGATGGTTTTAAAATAAATTCAGTTCTTTGAATCATACTCGCAATTTTTTACATATGTAACACAGATTTCCCTTCCACCAATTTTTAAGTTCGTGACTTTGCTGCAACACTGAAGCAAGCACAACATCGCACATATGGGCTCCTTACTACTCCGAACACCCATAAATGAATAATCATCAATAAAATGAGAAAAGTCACTTAATCCCTCCCTGGAACGGCGGGCACTAAATTCCATAAGATTACCACCTATTCTAATCATAACAATGTCGTCGGAACTGTTGATACCTGTCGCCAAGCCCATAAATGGATGCATGCTCGACTCCGAAAGTACGCCCGGGCGATCCTAATGTTGATTTTTCAACTAATTTTAAAAAGTTGGCGCACTCTTAAGCTGATAAGGTCATAATTGATTTGATAACATACTCTGCTTCTCTGATATTATTTTAGTACTTATAATAGCACGTGGTATTTATTCAGGTCTTTTACGTGTAAATCATATCAGAAAATAATGGTTCGATAAAAACGCTACGACAATTACAACCCAGGTTCAAAAAAAATTGTGTGTCGGAACAGTGCAAACTTTTCTTTCGTTTGTAAATTTTTCTCTTCTCCTTGCAATGTGTAGCTAATTTCCGAACATAAGGCAATTTGGGTGAAGTACTTAAATGTTTGGTGTTTAACGTCGAGTGCTTTTGTCAGTTCTAACTTTCAACGGCTGGCCTATAGCGTGAAAAAGTGTGTACGTCTGATTTGGAATCTAGACCAAGTTATTGCGAAGTTAAGAAAACGCGTTACCGGTGTAATCACTAATTTTATTTGCCGGTTAGCAGTTTAAAGATATGCAATTAAGCCTTTAGGTAGTGTTGTCGTAGATTATTTTAATTAAAGTCATACTTCGTTGCAAATTTTATCGGTGTAGGCAAGTTCTATGCGTTCTGCGATGCAAATATTTATAACTGGATAGCGTTATAATTGATAAGGAATTCTATTATTTTTTAATTATTACTTTATTATGTTCCATTGAATATATCCTACAATAGCTAGAAATCAATGTGTGTTTGCAGCTCTGTAGAAGGCATTAACATAACTATTCTCGAATAAAAGCAAAATTAATTCCACAATCCGGATTAACCTCTACGCATGAGATCTGTATCAAGCAATATGTATCTTTCACTTTTTTCTTCCGCCATGTATATATGACAAAGATAACCAGTTTACAGCAATATATTTACTACTGTGCAAATATTCTTTTGCAATAGTGAAATTAAGAATAGCCCTGTAAATTCAAAGAGCTTAAATACATGCAGTCTTTTTACATAGCCAAATTAGTGATTTCACACTAAAAAAATAAACTGGGTAATTACGAATATAGGTGTGACCCTAACAGAGTAAAGACTGATCGGCAAACACGCCTTCCGGAAGTTTTTGGAGCACTTCCCAAGAGCTTTTCAACAGTAAATCGGGCATCCCACAATGTTGACGTCCCTCATTAGGTTATAAGACGAAAATGATCTGCAAGTCTTTATTAGTTAACTACCGGTTAATCGGTTACGTATAAATATATGCGGATCATACCAATATTCCCGCCTGCATCTAAATACCCAATATGTCAGCTTGATGCGGAATAACCCATGTAGTAATAAATCACACTCTACAATTTTTAGCCGGTAAATCTAGCTTACGAAAAAAACTCGAAATCTTTGTCATTTTATATTGTATTTATGTTTCACATCAAAGTAAGTTTAACATAACTGGAATTTCTCAGCTTTATCGTTAATGTGCTTTATTAATAACTGCCCACAGGATGCAGTAGTTAGTAGTATTGTAGGTTTAGAACCAGAAGACTCGTGGTTTTAATTTGGTTGTGCACATGGAAATTTATAATTTTGAATTTGCAAATTTTATTGCAAATAAATTATTATACCTTTTATTATATTTTATGAGATTCTCCAGGTGCATTCCTAGTATTCGATTGGTGTATGTATGAGTAAGAGCAACTGTTTCGACTGTTTGTTCCTGAACGGCAATATTTATATAGAATATTTTTTCCTAACTGATCTTTCTATAGGCTAATAAGGTTCCATATTGGAGATATGAAACGACGAGCTCTATGGTGGATCTAAATGTGTATCGAATCTTGCGACATTTCCAAGTTTGTGCTTCCTGTTTTCTATGCCAGATTTCTACTTATGCAAACCACCACGACAACAGTAAGGATATGAGCAGGGGGGATTTATTGGGGATAATTCTGCACTTAACTTTATCTTCGTAGCAAGAGTGGGACAGAAATATTTACGGCAGCAATGCTGGCCCGTTTTGGAAGCACTTCTAATCGCGTAGGATGCTCCTCGGAATGTCATCGTAGTGACTGAGATTCCGTAAAAATTTACGATTTTATAAAGAGCTGGTTTAAACGAAGACAAACTTTTTATCGCAAAGAAAGATTCACGCTACTTTTGTTATTGGGGATAACAATGTTTCTTTTGCAGAAATGCTTCAGAAACTACGTGGCTTGTTGATCGGAATGCTAAGTGGAAAATTAATTTAATAATCAGAGAACGAAATCAGTAAATTAAGTAGCGTAGATTTCCATCATAAACGAATCAGTTCGACTAATGGTGTACCGTATAAGGTGGTTGTAACTAATTAAAATAATAATGAGGTCCGACTAAACTATAAAGGTCACGTTAGATGTAAGAATAAAGCTAATAGAAACTTAAATAAAAATCGTCAATATTTCAATTGTCATTTTAATCCATTTTAATCGCCAAGATTTATGAAAAGCTTCTATTAGAAACGAAGAAAGTTATTGCAATGGACCGACAGGATACAATTAAGGGCTTTTGTTTTTATGAAAAAATGTTTTTTCTAGCGTTATTCACATCGTTATATGTTTGGATCATTCTTGAATCAAGTTAACCAAGAGCGACTTGGCTAAGACTGGTACAGCAGAATCTTGTTGTAAAAAATTCCATTAGGGGATTAGATTCTAAAATTGCCCATAACTCAGACATACCCTTCGCGTTTGACGAACCCCTGTTGAGTCTAAAGGCGATCGATCGTTCGATTTTTAGTGTCATGCTAGCTCGAAAGCTCGATTGTTAGATTTTACCGTGGAAAAACATTTGCATTCATTAGAGAGGATTACGAGTTCAGAAAACTGATCAGTTCTACATTAGAAAAAATGACACGGACTCACATCATCCTATACGGATTTTATACTAAGTAGAGATACAACAACTTGCGTTCCTTATTCATCAGCTGAAAACGTTTCTGATTGAATTTCAGCGCGTGACCAGCTCCCGTTAGAAACTAAGACACTGTAAATGCGATGGCGGGTTTGGAGGAGGTAGACATACCAGGACGTGAGTATCTAAAAGAGACGCTCACCAACTGCGCCGACCCTTTAACGGCAATCGCGGAATTCCAGGAAGAAAATGGTAAGCGGCATTTACAGAGAACTAGTTTTCCCTGGATTTTCATGCTGCTTGTTAACTGCTTGGGTTGCTAGGTGTATCGAGTTTTGTAATCCTCTATAGGAGGAGGGGCAAGCATGATATATGTATTAGTTTAATCTAACCAGAGAAGCACTGTCGCTGGTAAATTTTTGTCCACGCTGCTAAGATGAAGATGAGACCTTACCTCTGTGCTGCGTAAACTAGGTTTGTAAAAACCGCAATTAAGGATCCTGCTACACACTAATGATAATTTGCAAACATTTTATTCCCGACAGAGATATCACGGGATTTAATAAACCACTGGCATTTTTTTAACTACGCTTCTTTCCAAATATTTTGCGTGATACTTTATAATAAATGCTTCGAAAAAGAAAGATTTAATTAATTAACGAAGTTTATTTTTTCTTAAGCCGGACTCCCTTTAAAAAGCACGTTGCTTTTGTCAAAGCTTACCAAACGAACAAATGTTGTACAGGGTGTCAGCAGTTCACCACAAAAGCGTACCAAAAAAGCATCAGGTTTGGTTGAGGATCATTCTGAAAGCATGGACATTTTTTTCAATATCTTTCAGTTCAGCTCAGCATAAAGCAATCGCCGAAATCGATTTATAATTTGGTGAATTTGAAAACCCTAGAGATTCTGATCGTCGAGGGGCAGGATTTGCGCTCCACCGTCAGTTTAATTATCTCCCAACTTTCATCAAGACACTTGCCAAATAACTACTAGCCCGTATGACGCTCAAATTGATCATAACACATTCTAAGCGGACATTTACACGAATGCTACGAGTGAGAAAATTCGATTGCGTATGTCGTGCATGCCTGAAGTGAAACGCTGGTGTCGCTGCCAGCCGAAAAAGACGACCCATATTAGCGTCAAGCGATGCCATGGTGGGTCAAGAGCTTACTCCGCAGTCGCTTGCGTTAAACGAAATAAAGGATTCTAAATTTTGTTAAATAACTGGGGGAATTTCACAAATTCGCGAGCTATGATGTTGCAAAGGCTTTTGAATGCTGCAGTGCTTCAACCTTAGGGCCGCCAGAATTCCAACAATAGTAATAAGGAAAGGGTAATCCAAACAAAACAGAAGTTAACCAGTGGTAACTCATTATATATTGTAATTAAAACACAAAAGTTGAAATGTAAACGTCAGATCTCTCGTCGTCTCCTATCAAATGGAATATGACGTTTTGCGGGTTTCCAGAGATCAACTTAAAAAAATCCTCTTTACAAAGATCAAACGACCGTCTAAATCGTTCGCGTTGCAACGGGTTCCGAATGAGCAAGCCATCCAGAGTACAGTTGTCCCACATGAAATTAAGCATTTGCCCAACATTTTCCTTGAATGGGCAATGTCCGGTTTGTTAGAACCATATGTTACTAAAAGTAAACCTATTTAGTTTTAATTGGAGACAGCCTGTTAATTCAGGTTTTCTATCGTTTACAGCAGTACTGTAAACTAATTTTCCGTACTGACTTTTATTCAGTCACCCTAAGCTTTTCTTAAGATGGTGCTAAAATGGAAGATGCAAGATCTCTACCATGCAGTATACAATACGGCCATAAACATTGGGCCTCAGAACGACCTCCTCCATAAAAAAGGTCGATGAGCTCAATCCTCCAATTCTTATGTATATACATATTAAAGCAGCATTTTCTACCGTTACTTCTAAAGAGGTATTTCATCTACATTGGTGACTTGGTTGAAGCGCAGGTATATGGATTAAATTGGAATATCAAAATCGAAAATCATGGTAACAAAAATGCAAAAGTTGTAGTTAAGGGCTTCTTGTCATCCATCATAAGCGCCAGACATTGCAATTTTTTAACTTTTTAATGGGAAAATCATTAAAATCTATCTCGCTATATTCGTCGAAATTGCTTTTTGAAACCAAATAGGTGTTCAAACTCCAGTCATCCGTAGCTGCGAAATAATTGACAGAAAGTTTTAGATAATAATAGTGCATACACAAATTGAAACTAAAAAAAAATAGGCTTGTAAACAAGTTTGGTAAGTATTAATTTTCCGTTTTACACCTAACACTGATCGACTAGTTAATGATCGGGAGAAGGTTGTTCGGTCAAAAATTCTGTATTTTTTGGTTCATCTATGTCCTTCTAACAGTGCACTGTACTGTCTATTATTTTTTATAGGAATTTTACTTCCTTCGTTGCGCACTATGCTTCCATTGCTCGACCTCCATGGAGTTTCAAGATTGGAGTTCCATGATGCCGTTCAGGAGGCACTCAGAGAGCGCCTTCTTCAGCAAATCGATTTCCTCGGCAAGGTGCATCCATACAATGTCGCAGCATATCCCTAGTCAAATATGTACAATTTAGCCTAGTCTAGGTCGTCAAAGATATAATTTTCAGTCATTCGCAAGTACATACATGGGCCATTTGTACCCCTGCCCGTATAAAAGACTGAGTGTGCTGTGTAGCCTCTAAAATGCACGTATTTTTTACAAACATTTACAAACATGAAAACTCAAGCGTTTCAGAAGCAACTACCTTAGCGTTTTCATATAACTGTACAATGACATCCATACTTTTTATTTGTTACATTGCAAAACCAATTCCATAACTTTCCTTGTTTAAAGAACTTGGGAAAACCGTGCATACCTACTGTGGTTTTTCTTAGATGTCAAGGTAACCTACCGTACCTCAACTTAAACTTCCAGGAGTCACAATATTAGCCAACGGATGTCTGGGAAACACTATCTAAGAATATATACGTTTTTTTTTTTAAATACTCTAAGACGTACGCTAGAAAGCTTTTAGTCATTCTCGCTTTCTTAATTTACCAATTTTCTCTGTTAAATATTGACTAGCAATTACTTGTTCATGCCATTTGTAAGGTTTTCCCTACTCTGTAAACAAAATAGCGTATGCAAAAAGGTTTTCTGTAGTTTGCGTAACTGCATTTTTCTTCTTGATACTAAAATTTTGAAAACCCTGCACCACTATCTCGACCCCCCCCCCCCCAAGGAACGCATTTACGAAGGTTAATTTCACGAATCCGAACTTTGTTGAAGTTCGGTTTCCTGGCAATATTGGGATCTGCATTTCACTTCAGCAATGGCGTAGAAATACGCTAGCTACCTGGTAGTCGTAACAGAAAAGTCATTATAACGCCTACACGCCCTAACGGCCTATCTTGCGTCGATGATATACTTGCAGTATTTACAGTTAGTATGTTTCAAGTTCAGTTCTTCTGAATAACCCTATATAAATTCTGGGAAAGGGTAAATTTCACGCGTACGTTCATGGATGTGCCCAATGCCCGGCTTCAGCCATAATAGTTAAACTGAGCCTGGCAGCAAAAGAACAAACGCGCTCGAGAGAACTTCCATTCAGTGCTATAGAACCCCTTGAGTCATTCCCGTTTGTTTAATGAACTATTCTGCAAGACTAATTAGAGTTTACAATGTAGAAACCATATTCAGACTTCGGTTTTGACAGCGTATTGCTTTATGGATTAACTTTCCTTTAAAAATACACCATATTTTCAGAGAATCCTTAGTATTGATAGAAGCTGGTTATCGCTTAGTACGAAGCATTAAGCAAGACATCGCTGTACCTTGCACTTACTCGCCAAAAAATTTAAAGGGCTCTTTTTGTTAAATTTCAAAAACATGTAAAAAAAACTTAAATTTGTAAAGTATTCTGATATGTTAATATGTGATATCATTATCACCCATTTCGATTACCGCATTAAAAATGTGTTTATAATACAGTGATTTATTTTACTCCTAACGGAGAAGCCATAATGTTTAGAAGTTGGTCTACGGGGGCTGAATTGCCCGACTTCGTTGTGTAAATTACTCACTTTCCATTAAAGCGTACACATGTTTTAACCTATACGCTAAAGCTAATGTAAAGAGATTATGTATAATGTGCTCTATTAAGGGGCTTTTGTCTCCTAAACTAACATTGATTAGGTGTATGTTTAATTTGCTCAGCTGTACGAAATTGACTTCAATAGGACGTGCTTAAACCGAATTGTCTAGATAAAGACTTACTAGGGATGGAAATACATTTTTTAAATGTTTGTTCAAATAAGTTAAAAGACTTTAAAGACATATGGAACAAGCAATTTAAATGGGAATTCTAAAACTAGTTTCAAATTTAGGTAGATTTTTTTAAAACGAATTATTATAAACATATAGTGGCCTGCATAAGATCTCATTCTTTTCCCTTGCATTTATGAAGACGCGAGAGCCAGTGGGATGTCCAACACCAAACTCAGCAGTGTTTGCGGTTTATGATAATAAGAAGACTGCTTGGAATATTATTTCGTTTTCATAAACATACGATCGAAATGGTTCCATTACAGTGATATTCCGCATGTGTCACACAGTTCACGGAAGACATATACCATTGGCGGAGGTAACACTGAGACGATTGATCAAAAAATTCGAAGAGATTAGCTGACTTGTACATGAAGTGAGGCAACGAAGACCATGAACCGGACAAGCGACAATGTCGCTGCAATGCAGAGCCGTATGGATACCAATTTAACAACCTTAACGTTATGTTGTACTCAACTATTACCGAGCAGTTAGCAATGTGTTCTGGAGTAAGATCTTCATTCCCATTAGGACATAGCATTTAAAGATCCAGAAATATCACATGCATCATCCACTGAAGTCGAAGCGCAATGCCGGTTTTTTGGTCATATCGTCTTATTTGATGAAAGTTTTTCCGGTTGATTGGGTATATAAACAGACAGAGCTGTCGGATCTGAGGCTCGCAGTACTCGAGTGTAAGTATCGAGCAATCACTTCAAAGGGACAGACTGTATGATGCGACTTGTAAAGCAAAGATATTGTGGGGCTTTCCTCGTCGGCAAAAATTCCAGAACAGCAATCAATGGCGAAAGCTGTCATGAGATATTGCATTGCAAACGTTTCTTTGAACCTAAGTGAAGGCATTGGATGTAAACAATTTTTGGTTTTAATATACTGGGGAAACTCGCTACACCGCGAAGAAACTAATCTACTCGAAACTATGTGATCAAGCCGGCAGAGCTCGACGCGTCATGATGGCCACTCCGGCCAGGTTTTTCCTATAGAGGTATGTGAAGGAGTATGTATATCAAATAGTGCCCAAAAGAATTCACGAATTTATTTACAACATTCATAAAGTAATTAATGAAATTAATGTTATATGCAGGGTCGTAATTTAAAAGCCATCTTTTCAAGGACGTTTGGCTACAAATGATTGGGGTGAGCTAAAGTGAGAATAAACACATACATACAAATTCTCTATTCTCTATCCACGGGCAAGTCCTATACAGACATATATGTGTATGGGGTTCCAAAATTTAATATATTGTGTATTCGAATGTCACCCAAGCCACGTGCTATTCTAGTTTTGTCTAAATATGGCAATAGGATGATTTGAGGCACTCATGATTAGTCATTTGAGGTAAGCGTTTCTCACGTTTTGATACGCTTCTTAGATACACAAAAACCGTAGTGCACACTTGCGCTACGGTTTTTGTGATATCTAAGTCATACTCTATGTGGTAGTTAACGTGGTTCGAAAATAATATAGAAGCGTAACCATACTTTTCTCAAACACTAGACTTGCTCTGCCTTTGCGGTCCATGAAACAGCTAACACTGAGTTGACATCTGAGAACTGCCGCCTGCATATTGTAGCGCTGTCTGCGCCTTAGTTCAGATTTTTCTGTCTTACTCGTTGTAGTTTAATGATCTCTTCATAGAACATTCAGCCTGAAAGCTCTGCCATAGCCAGTATGATGTCACAAATTCCTTCCCTAATACGCAGTGTATTTTGTTTATTACCTTATTTTATTAATAGTGGCAAAAAAGATCTTTTGGCTTAAATTTATACTGAACAATAGTCTGTACCAACTCATATGCTGTCTTAACACTGGACTGAGCTAAGACACTTCATTTTTGCAAAATTGAACACAGTAATCATTTAAGTTTTCGTATTCAAACTAGGTAACAGTTGCACGATGGCCAAATGACAAGGCTATAATAAGTTTGAATCAGTATATTAACTAATACCACATACTGGTTGTCCAAAAAAGCATTTTTTTAGTTAGATAGCCCTAAAAAATCATATATTTCAGGTAATATGAATCGCATCGGATTATTGTTGGTACTTGTATCACTTGAAAACTGGTAATCGATGTGGTAAATTATATAAATGCCTTATTCAATGAATTATAGAAATTTTAAGTCTGAATAGATTTTTTCTTGAAGCTTTTTGAAGAAAATGAAGCTTATGCGGAAATTCGCTATACTTTATAATATTATTACAGCCTCGTTCGCGCTGTTTATGGGCAGAAATGCATTATTTGAAGAAGCTATGTAAAGATGGTTCCGACGCTTTCATGTTGAAAATTTCGATATTAAAAATGCTCGTCGTAATGGTCGATGATGAAATTATTGCGAAAGTTGAGCAAAATTGACACGAGTTAGCGAAGGAACTAAACGACTACCATCAAACATCTAAACCATTTTATAAAGACATGATACAAAAAAGAATTCCAATGTTTGAGTGCCACACGAATGGTCAACAGAAGAATATACCCGATTATATTTCCATCTGCAAAATTTTACGGCAACAAAATCATGTCATTTTCAAAGCAGTGGATCTCGAATGATAGAAAAATGATCACACGTGTGAAAAATACTATGGTCAATGAAAAGATCTCTAATCTGTAGCAATGCTTTGTTTGGTGGGATTGAAAAGAAATTGTACATTATGAGTTATACTGTTGTTTGACGAAACAAAAATAGTTTTATGTCCGATACCGCTGTTAGATACTCCATCAAACGACTGGGCCGGTACGACGCGAAATGTTTAATACAACGAGCCATTTAAAAAAGTTGACCGGAATTACTGAACAAAAGGGACGCTACCTTCGGACGCCTTCATCAGACTGCGTATATCTTAAGCTATTCGACAAGAACTTCAAAACTTTATTGCATTCTCCCTATAATTTAACTTTTGCATCTGTTTCGGTTTCTGCGATACTTGCGTAAGTGTTAATTTACTTTCAGTGGAAGAGTAAAAACACTTGTCACAATTTTTTGCCCAGAAACCACAGAAGCTCTACAGTGATGGGACTGTGGTGTTGGAAGAGGGTATCAGATGAGAACGGTACACAATTTGTTTATCCTTATTTTGTCTTAAAATGAAAAGTTTTTGCTTTAATTTGGACCTAAGAGCTATCGGCATTGCTGCAACTACCTAATATATAACGCTGTTACAAGCGAATCCGACGGACTTCGAGGAAAGTCATAAGTCTGCCATTTACATTTTCATATGTTTTTTCCTACCTATAGTAAATCGAGAATGGGATACGGTTGCGCACCATTGGCCCTTTTCAGGACACGGAAAGCTCCGTAATCACACGAACATAGATCGAAAGAATAAGCGGATTGAAGCCAACGTTCCTTGCTCAATCCAGAAAATAATTGCGGTCTGGTGCCGTCATCACGTAACCAGACGGTGTACTTTTGGTTGCCATGCCAACGGTGCATGAGTCTCTTAAGGAACTCAAGATAACAATAATTTTCGGCGAGTACTCCATAATAGCAGATTCCCTGATGTCCATTTCAAGTACTTCAGTCGCTTTGCGTATTAACCTGCCCGACATTGCCACTAAACTCGTTTTTTCTCCAGAATGACGCCCTTCTCTCATATGGGTCCTCTTTATCTCCTGGTAAAGACTGAACCATGCTTCGTCTGTAGTGATCGTATTCCCTCTGATTAACGTTCTGTAAATTGCACATGGAATATATTTTTTGGTTTTCTAGTATTGGGGTTATAATTCTGTAACACTTTATATGTGAAGTACTAGTTTTAGCTAACAAAGCCCGTAGATTCCAAGCTCTGCTTTTGTGGAAAACTTCTTCGACTGTCGCAATGCATTCTCGTACTTTCAACATCTGGTTACTTCCTCTCTGATCTTGAATACACCAATTTTTGTTTTTGGTATATTTACAGCATTCACATACACTGGTTTCTTTTAGGACTTTCTTGCTATGTCTTCACTAGTCTTTAGTGAACTTTCGCAGAACTATGATTTTCGGGAACTAAAACTTGACTACTAAGCGTTGATTTTCGAGACCAAAAAATGTTTCTACGTCTGAACTCATTTTTCCTAGACGAAAGTCGACCGGTTTTAACGAATCTCTAAAAGACCGGAGTGTTTATCAACCAAAGTTTGTCTGCTAGCGGTGTGTAGTTCAATTCAAAGCCTAGTAGATTCGCTTGTAAGAACCTAACACTATATATGCAATATGATCCTATATTCTCTTGGCGATTGAATGTATTTATTTCATACGTGTTAAAGTAGGAATTACCCAACGTTATAAGGAACCGATTTAACTGTACTATATTTTTTCAGGAGCACCTTAAGACCATTCCTATAATTCCCTATAATATGTTTATAATAAGCATATTACAGGATACAACATGGTGTATGTTAAACATGCACTTAACCATTATATTAAAACAGCTGGAAAATAATTGGTAATTTTCGTCGTACTCCCTATATATATATGCCACATATGTGTTTGTAAATCGTTGCAAATTCTGACCCTCTAAATAAGCTTGCTATCAAATATGTTATTACGTATAACAACAAACTTACATTACATATATTTTGAGTGATCCCTAATTTTAACAGAGGTTTAGAGAAAGAATTGTCATATATTCTGTGAGAACTACTAGACTTACAAGCGTTAGATGTTGCTTTACAACTGCTATTGTTCCATTTGTCTTTCCTATGTATTTTGTCTGACACAAACACACAGGGAAAACAAGTGTTCTTAAACTCAGAAAAAAAAAAATAGAAAACATTAATTTATCGTTGATAGCACTTCGCACACCATTTTCTAATCCTACATTCTTTTCGAGAAAAGCTTTCATCATAAATCCTCGTTTAATATTGAGGAAGTCAATTGTGGTGTACTGTAAGTGGTATAACTTGAGCGCTTCATGCTCATGTTGTTACAAGTTATCTAGTTTCTAATATAATAGAAATATTTATTGAAAACCCCGGAACGTTTACATTGCTAGTTGTTCCTCAGAAATCTTTACGGCGTTTGTGTAGCAGGCTCGAGGAATACATGAATTATAGAAATCATTCGTTTTAATGCTTCAATAAAGCTATTAAATGAGCAATGTTCTATTTTATATGCTGACGTCGTAGTATCATAACGTAGTATTATGGGGGTGGCACAATAAACATAGGACAAAATGAAATCTGTTTTTATTGGAATAATTTGCGTATCTTTTGCTGCTTTAATAAATTTTAAAGCCAGAAGAGTCGCCATCCAATGATTTGTAAGTCACCATATATATATATATATATATGTATATGGTTTTAGAATGTAATATTTACGAAGTATTAACTATTCTTATATTTAGTTGCTACGCTAGCACCTATTGAGTCTGCTCATTCGTAACAGTTTTGGATCTTATATTTTTAAATCTCAAATTTAAATAGGTTGCCACTTCAGCACGTTATTTCTCACTTATTTTCTTGCTCTACTTGGATTTGTTTTCTACAGGCTGGAAACACAGTGAAGTTGGAGGAGCTACTTCAGAAAAGTTTTCCTGTTGTAAAAGTCGACGCATTACGACCCGTTGTTATGGCTATCTTAAAAAATCTAGAGCATGTTGATGAACGTTACCTTAGGAGATTGGTAGCTGACAAACAGCTTTATCAGGAAGCGGATGTCGGTGTTAAACGACAAATTTGGCTTTCGCATCAAAGCCTATTTGGCGATGAAGTGCTACCACTTTTTCAAAGATACATGAAGGTTCGATTTGGATAAAAAAGTTCCTTGCCATGTGTTTACTTTGTTTACAAGCGAATTTTAGGCTGAACTCAAAAGTCGGTTTCGTAGTTCCATTTCAATGGAAATTTACATAAAAGACGGAGTGAATTTCTTAATTTAATGAAAAATATATATTTTACGTATAGTGTGTTGATTTTATCTTCTGCTTAAGGCACAGACCTTTGAAATTCAATTTGTAACAGTTTCTTCCCATCAGGAGCGCGAGGCTGCTCTTTGGGAAATGGGCGAAGCAGGAGCATCTTTCTACGCGCCAACTCCAAGGCAACGGCGACAGCATCCTATTGTTCAACAGCTTGTGACAATGGTAGTGGCATTAAACGGTAGCTGAATTACAATGGGATATTTATAAGCGATGCAAGCATGAAAGAGGTTATGGACAAAACTCAACACGAAGCGTAATCTAATGTGCGTTATAATCAGATCTTCATTTGCCGTTTTGTCATCAGGTGGGTCGGAACGTAGTGCTCTACGATATGGTCTTACAATCTCTACGGACACTTTTTGTGCGAACAAAAAATGTGCATTACTGTACACTGCGAGTGGAATTACTCATGGCCCTGCATGACGCTGATGTAAGTAGCAGACATTTGGGCCGCGAACTTAAAAAAAATATTCATACTTCGATTGTCCTGGACGTTCAGTCGCAAAAGAATCGCTAATACGCACAATATACAGGAGTCCGTTAATTAATAATTTAATAATAAACTTATAATTAATTATTAATTATATAAGAATTATAATTAGAATAATTAGAACGTGATGAAACGGCATTTTACCGTTCTCAAAGAAATAAGGCGCCACGTATATTCATGTTTTACTGTTTTGGATATTAAATCTCTACAGCTAGGCTTCAAGTTACTTCTACCCTATATTCTTGAATTTATGGCAGAAATGCAGGAACAGTTCTTCTAGATCTGTCGGGTTGTGCGTAGGTAGTGTTAACACGATCTGACAGCACAGAACATTGTTTCGATGAAAGTCCTTTCCTATTCTATACAGGTTGACATCGCTTATAAGGCCTGGCTTAGGTGGAAGTATAATGTGCTACTTCTTTGTTTCCTGTTGCAGTACAAATATCGACGCTCCTGGTACCTGACTAGGTGCTCAATAATGTTACTTCAGCTTCGCATTATTACTGCTATGCCTTGAGTTTTTCGTTAAAAAATTTGTAGGGTTAGTGCAAGGGGCTGTAAATATTTCCAGTTTGTGGAGTCTTTGAAGTCAACCTTAATATGACTGCATAAAGCTTAGATAAAACTTCTATTTCAGAACTTCGAAATGTTGGATGCTTGGTTCGAAACATTAGTTTTTAACTTAAAAACTAGCGGCATTCAATGTTTTGCTAAATCAATTACCCTTATGTACAATGATATATATTTTTTTTAATTATTTACACATTTTGTTTATTCGAATATACATATTACTGTACAATAACAGCAGGCTAATCGGAGAAGTAAATGATCTAGGAATCGAAATACAATCAAACAGTGGGCGGGACACTTGCTCCCTTGCTTGACAGACCAGTAAGCGCTCTTTATGTTGTGCTATAACTTCTCATTAACACTTAACTGATTATTCGTGGAAAAGAAAGAGGTCTCTTGCTTGTGGTTGCAATCGAATATGTTGACTCAAGCTTCAGCAAATATTTAGAACGCTCTGCGAGATTATTTCACTATCTACTAGAATTTAAAAAAAGAAAAACAGTATGGTGTCGAAGTACGACGAAACTAGATGAGCTGTAGAAGTTTTGAAGCACGGTGTACTCGTCATCTGTTAAACGAGGTCCTATCACCGACAAGAAGAAATAAACGTTATAGTAGAGATGTGTCTGAAAATAGCACCTGCGGATAAGGGAAGTTTTTCGATCATAAATTGAATTCGTTAAGCTGAATTATTCAGTCGTCACCTGTTTTAACGCGGACGTTTAGGCGCAAATTCGGTGAGTGTTTATCACATATCGTGTGTTCGCTTGATGTTCTTACCCCATGCATTGATTCAGGATTTACTCGCCTTTTCTTGCAAGGCTAGTTGACTTTCTCTATATTCCCACGTCGCAGATGCACCGCACTACCGAAGTGTTACGGTAGACAGACGCTTGAACTGGGTGAGAGCAGAATAAATGATAAATCACAATATGAAAAATAAATTAGAAATTGGGCCTAAAATGACATGCCATAGTAACCTAATGCATAAAGCATTTTCCAAACAAAGAAATAGCCCTCAGTCCAATGCCCAAGCTGAGAAAGCCGTTGTCCCTAAAATATAGTCTGTCAATTGTCAGCTATTGTGCTTGAAGTTTTCTGAATTTATTGATTAGACTACTTCATCTACAGTTGCGATCCGGTCGATGGGTTTGCGGGTGCGCCTATTTCTAAATCATTTCAGTGCCTAGTATGTTGGTCGTAGTCGTGATCAGTGAATGATGACAGAAGCAAATTACGAAAAAGATTAATGACACAAAACATTAATACAGACCTCGAGAGGGTTAGAGTAAAGAATGTGACACAAGCACCACAAATCGCCGAGGGAGCGGGGATGTACACCTAAAGACTGAAAGCCAGAAGCACAAAGGGTGGCAAATCGGATAGTAAAAAAGCACGACTCTCTTACTAGTTTACAATTATGGCTATCGGCGTCATTTTGCCAGCGCAATGACTGTTTTCGGTCTGAGACTGCAACTGGGCAATGGGGCGTAGGATATCATGCCATGGGCCTGGCCGATGCCTGAATGGCTGTTTGTATATTTACAGGTACATAGCGAGTGCCAACTACTACTCGGTTATGTTTCGCTATCTTTTTCTGTATGCCGTCATTTAGAAGATTTTAACCGTGGTAATTTGTTGCACAATGGCTAGCTTATTTTCATTCTCTTTGCCATTAAGGGACCATAAACTACGACTGAAGCAAGGAATATTTGACAATGTTTTTGATACGAAAATTATTTCGTTCGTGGTGGTGTATTAATCTTCACGAGTATATTTATTTTACATGAGTATATGTGACTCTCAATCTGAGCTACCGTTTTAGATATTGAAGATTCAGCTCTTTTATTAATAATTAGCTTGAATAAAACCTCGTCGAGATTATTATCAATGCTCATTACTGTGTTCACTTTCACTAGGTCCTTTAGCTCAAAAAAGAGTAAAAGCATGAAGTAGCACCCTCAAATAGTAGACAGTAATTGGCATGGACACCTGGATCGAAACGCTTAGTCTTAGATGGTTTAAAATGATACAAAACCATATCGAGAGGATGCGAAGCATCATGTCAAATACTGTGGAGCATCATGGTCCTACATGATGCATCAGTTTTTCAAGGCTGAGCAAAGCTTTTATACATAGAATACTTGGCAAACGATAGCTCAGTTGACATAGAGCCGTTCAGTTCTTACTAATGTTTTGGATTTTGAGCGCCCCTTTGGCCAACCAAAAACCAAATCCCTTGCTTGGAAGTTCATTCTGTAGAAGTTATCTGGTTTTTGATGTTACATTGAATCATTGGCATACGGATACAATGCTTTACCACGAGAGGGAACTTGTTGCTAAAGGTTAGTTTTACGTCTATGACGTATAGAAATCCGGCCGTCCGACCAATTGAGTTCCACAGATCTATTTAGCAGAAAAACCTTCGATAGCGACTGCACCCACTTTTGGGCGTGCGGACTTGAGTGTGTCACGCGATAAGGGTCGGAAACCAACTGCTATGAGATGTTCCCGCCTTAGAGCGACCAAACACCGAACGGTTTACTTTTAGCTAGACAATTTCAAATGCTTTATTTCGCTTTGCCAAACATCGAAAGAAAGAGCCTGTGAAGTAGTTTTAGGAAAAAATATATATTTATTAAAAGATACTAACATATATTGCTATCTACACAATCTGCCAAAGTGTATGAAGATATTTTTTAAGCTCGAACCAATGATTTGTTAGGTTCGGCATACACTGAGGCGATTGAGCCACTGTTGCATTAAGTTATTTCTTTGTATTATTTACTCCACTATCTAATCAATGGCTATTTATTTTTCTGATTGCAGGTTCAAGATATCACTCAAATTGATAGCTGTCACAAGTTCGCTTGGTGTTTGGACGCATGTGTTCGTGAAAGAAATATTGATGCGAAAAGATCCCGCGAGTTACAGGGATTCCTCGATGGCGTCAAACCGGGAAGCGAACAAGTAAATCCTTTTTAATCAAGTAGATATTTTTTTATAAAAATTTACAATCGAGAAATGATCAACGAATTTTTTTTCTCAGCTTCCATGCGCTTAAACGTGAATTGCAATGGATAATTTAATGTTATTCCTATGCAGAAAATGTGAGCAGCTAACGATTTTTTGTCTATAATTTATACAAATTTATTTATCTATAATTGTACAAATATTCACAAATGTTAATAAATTGAGCAGTGACACGCTTTGTCAATATATAATGCCATCACGAGCGGGTAGACCTGTTAATACCTTGTTTTTTATAAGATTGCAAATAATCAGTGTTATAACGACATCAGTGCAGTAATAGACACATTCCATCTCTGTGTGCATATGTATGGCTGAAACCGTAAGCCTGCGTTTGCCCCTTCTCCGTACGCGAATTTGTTAGAGCTTTGTCCTTCTCCATTTATTATTTATTTTTATTATTATTAGATTCCAATCCGTGACCGGCGTGAAAAAGCGGAGTTAACATATGTCTGTAATGTGTATTCCTATTTATGTGTTTCGATTTTTTTCGGACCATTGAAGGTCGAAACGCGTGTTTTAGTAAACCCCAGAATTCGAATTACTGGGAAGAGAATGTTTTTTCTTGTAACAATATAATTTTTCGGTTTTAACTCACAAGGCTACAGATCGCTCATACAGAAACTGAGTAAAATCAATAGAATATTATAAGAAATTCGATGTGGTATTGTGAACGATGAACAATGAAAAAACCGCTGCTAAAAGATGGCTCCTATATTCGCCGCTGAATTCGGGTAGGCCCCTGTTCTTACACTGTTGATCAAATATAAGTTCTTCAGTTATATCTCGAGCCTTACCTGCCAGTCCTAAAATTTTAACACTTATGTTCTTGCTTTATACATTGTTTTATTAAAACAGACAATTAAGAATTAGTATAAAGAATATCGACGCAGCCTTCTTAAGAGTATACTATAGGGCTACTTATTCAAGAACTAAAAGTAGGCAACATATATTTTAGCTTATCTTAGATTGTATATAGCACTGAAAAACGCATAGCCTATTTAGCATGTGGCTCCATAAATGTACGCCAAGTCAACAACGTTTTGGTTTCAATATACTCTCAAAGTACGATAACTAGGGGTTAATCTTTGATACTCATTTTGTAACAAGAAGCCAAGTAGGCATAAGCTTTACGTAGTGAAATTTAATAGTTAATGCATTTTTTAATATTTTCCTGAAGTAATTCCTGATAATATGATAACAAACCCTAATAATGACTAAAATGCATTTTGTCTTTACTATAATCATTGTTGTCATCATCATAACAGGTATTGGGTGATATTGCGATGAGTTTGGCCGATCCTCATGCTACAAACTTCCTCGTCAGTTCAGCTCTCAAAATCATCCATCTTCTAATCAACAACGAGAGTTTACCAAGGGTATAGTCTAAAGTTGTATATCACAATGGTTTTATTACAACAGTAGCTTACAAGATAGAGAGCGAACTTGTGCGGAAATGCATTTAGCAAACTAGATCCTAACCGCCTAGTAATGAACGTATGTTATACATTTACAAACGCCTTTTACAAAATGGTACTCTACATGTCATTTGAGAACTTTCCATACATTTTCTATCTCCCTTATCGTTCACCTCATGCTGTTTTTAGTAACTTCCAGCTCCATTAATTCCATCTTTTTTTTTGTAGTTCACTTCACCAGAGCGCCCTACTGAATCAACCTTTACAGTATGCCCTTACGCTTATACATTTCTTAGTCTCCTAACTTCCGATCGCTAACCAATTGCTACTCATATTATCAACTTCCCATAACCTGACACTCGGCTTCCTGTTTCTCTCAAAAAAAATTCATTAATCCAGGTATTCAAGACTTCAGCTACATTTTATTCTTGATGGCAACCAAAGTTCTCCCGCAACCTTAACAACTCTTTACCATTCTGTTTTTTATTCTTTATTTTTATTTCCTTATTATGTATATTTACCACTTATTATCGCGAGCCAACAAGTGTTAAGTATTTTAAATAACATAGCCTTATGTTGGATAATGTTTCGCTAAATAAAAAACATCATATTTTTACTCTCGTGGCAGTAAGTTATTACGTTTTCATCCGTTATTTTTGATGACTTCGTTTTACTTTTCACCCAACTGATGTATGCCATCTCGCCAAATGGCTTCTAATTACCTTTTGAATTTTTTATTTGCGTCAAAGGTCAAACTACGAGGATGATTGTCCAATAACGGAAATGTATCCAACATAATCTCCTAGGAAAGTATTTTTTTTCACGTGCGGCTTCACGTTGCCATGCAGCAATAGAATTTGACCTTGTATGTTGGGTTTTTTCTTTTTGAATAGTCTGATTTATTCGACGCAATTGGGCCAAATATGAGTTAATAAACTTTATTGTTAGCAGGAAGCAATTCCTGAACAAAAGCCTTAGTCTCGCTGGGTGAATCCTGGGCTGCGGTTTTCTCATGCCGATCTATGGTTCCTATCAGCTTATAGACACCAATTTTCATCACTGATGACAATCCAAAAGGCCATGGAACGCTCAATACCGGGCGAAATGTCAAGAAGCGGAAACATTCAAGCTCTTTAAATTTCCAAGTGGAGTTAAAGGATTTGAGTGACTAACGGTCTTGCGCTGCGGCCTATCTTCTTGGACGATTCCGCAGTTTTTTTGTCGGCCGCCGTCCTAGCCTTCTTTCAAATGACATTCATGAAGTTCAGATTTGAGCGGGGAGTGTACTTGAGGTTCCAGATATCGTTTTCAAACTTGGCAAGTATCTCCTGAGTAATCCTTTCAGCTGGAACATTTATCGTTGAAAAGTTCTAGTTGTAATACCATTACGGAACGTGAGAAAAACGCCTTCGAATAGCATATCAAAGGTAAATAACAAAATAGTGAAGAAAAGGCTTTTGAGAAACATGGGAACTACTTAGTGCTCGAATTTGTCTTCGAATATATATGCATTAAGGTACCCAATAATGTGCTCGATTCAATCATAATGTACGGCGTCGTCGTGGAAAAAATTTAAATCGTCTTGAAAACAGTCTTTATTAAAAATTTGTTAAATTTTTAACGAAAACTGTTTTTAAGAAGTTTATAGGAGATTGTTACGCCTGTATCTCAATCAAACACATGATTAGATCTTCTGGGCAGTCAGCACTTACAAATAGGGTCTGCTTCTAGTAAAATACTCAACGAACTCAACAACTTAGCCATGGCTAGAACAGAAAAAAGAAAAGAATAGAAAACTTAAAAACAAAGTTTTTCACATTTGATTGAAACGTAATCCAAGATTTCTCAAACCTATACAAGTGCCCGAAACACTGACTTTGCCAGCAATATTGGCCAACAAACTATCCGTTCGATTTCTGCTTGAATGAGATGGTAAGTATAGAGGCGAAAACATAGATGTTACTATTAAAATCGCAGATATAAAACGCGGCGACGACCAAATCGCCGGCGAAAACAAATCGCGGGGCAACATACGTAAATAATATATAATAATATGAAATAATAATATAATAAGATAACTATGTAATGCTAAAATAAAGGTGATGTAATTCTTAACGACATCATTCGCCCATATCACTGAACGCTAAAAAAAATTTTCCTACAGTCCCCTACCAGTCAGATTAGTCATGTAGGCCTACTACCACACAGCAAATTCGATATGACGAAACTTTATCTGATAGTCAAGAAAGTTACCACAGCTATCATAATTATGAGATGTTACCCCAGAATATTTACCAATTTTTATTAATAAAATTATTCAATAAAAAAGCTTTGGACCGGAGAAATTGAGAGTTTCCAATAAGGCGGTTTAGGAGTCAGTGCAGCTAAAAAAAAACTTGAAGTGAGGGTCAGGTGTTTAGCGGAGGCTTCACATATCTTGAAGATGTCTTACGCGTCTTAAGCGTATTCAGGATCACTTTCCAGTTTATAGAGTTCAAGGAAATTCTCACATAAGGCCTAAATAGATGTCTGATTTTTGGCTTGTTTTCCCTTCCTTGTGGTTGTACGTAGGACTAATGTATGATCTAGAGTCGATCATCCTAAACTCAACTGGCATTATTTTTGCCATTCACCGAGCCAATGTTTTTATAATAAACGCCTCACCCAATATATTAAGGAGGCAGTGTCCTTTATGGGTTCGATTGTCCACAGAGTTCCGGGCAGCTTTTAGCGCTACCCCATCAGACTTGTCGCTTTTTTTGCCTCTACTTCTCCACCCACCTGTGCTTCTTCCTGGCTCAACTTAATATTGTTTGGAACCCAATTGCTTCCCTTTCTCTTAAGTTCCATCAGTTTTCTGCCTTTGCCAAGATTTAGGTCAGTAGAGAATGGGTGATTGGAATGCTTCCTGGGATTATTCCACCCTCTAGAGTTAATCTATCTCTACGAGCGGTTGATGGGTCGCTTCAGTGGTTCCGGTTCCCGTTTCGAGTTCTGGTATCTTAGTGACCACCGCTTATGGACAGCTTAATCAGATTCGAACCCAATGACCTTAGTGGAAGTGTGGTCCTTAACGGCAACTTTATTTCTAATCAGATTATGCTCCGCAGCTTTATTGCAAGGAGCTCCAATTTGTGATTTCGATCGCATTCTTTGTTAACCGGGGCACTCTTCACTGTGTCTTCCACGAGGATTACTCTGCCTCTTCTTTCATCAGCAATAATTTCATTTTTCATTCCTGCGATGCAATTGCAGAACATTGCTATCTGTTCTACTTAGCTTTTCGTATCACTCTCCGATTTTTCTTTTCCTTTTTAGACCTGTATTCACCTATTCGTCATCCTGCATGTTTTGGACCTCCATTGTAGCTCGTTTGTGAATCGTTTGCATCAGCTTGTGTAGGCTTTTCCAAGTTGAAAATTTTGCTCAATCCAATTCACCTCAACAGTATAACCGTTTTGCACAGATTCGTAACTGGAGTTTTCAAGGCACGACGTATTTACTAGGCTAAAATCGCGCGTCAAGAAGTAGACACGTAATACTATATACATATAAATATTATTACTGTATTAATTGTATAGTAGTTTCTATTACGCAAACAATGCAAGGCGACGAATTTATGTCATGTTGTTATTAATTACATTTCGCCAACCTTGACAGAATCGGCCCGTTTTGGATCTGCCGTAACAGGGCTATGCAAGTCCCTAATGGAATTAATTAATTAAAACAAACATGGTTAATTACAACACAAACCTGATTTTTCACAATTTGTGGCAGTCTGTGTTAGATACATGTGGCATAGCAGACTATTTGTTTTGGAAGCACAGAAAAGATACATCGTTCTTTTTCAAGCGTAATTTGCCACTAGCGATACCTTCTGCTACTATTTGGAAAACTTCGTATTATTTTGTATTATATATACCGCATTACCTACCTTTTTTTCTAAGAGAACCAACTGCCCTGCAGTATCAATACCCAACCATTTAGATCCTCATAAATTGTGTTCATTGATTCTTATTCGTTGATTCCAATGCATGAACTATCAGGAAATAGAAGGTCAGATTTAGTCTAATAGAAGATACAAGGGCACTGTTGTAACTATTTTTTGTTTCTGCGATGCGGCTGTTTTTTAGGACCACACAGTACTGTTACTCTTAATGAGGATGTTGTCATTAGGGCTCGACGCCTGGAGAATCATGACAGATCAGGAGTTTAAAGAGCCAAAGCTTGACCCGCAGGTACAATCTCTTATAATACACTTTCAGGCTTCGTATATATCAAACGGACCTATGAGTTTCGCCGCGCGCCTGCATTACGTCGATTGATTTAACTAATTTATTTTTTTTACACTCAGCCTGCATAAACTGTCGTAGATACCAACAGTTAGCCGTTATCACCTAAACACACTTAACCCGTTACCTTGTTTTTATTATATGGACGAATTTCTATCGAGTTACAGCTAGCGCAATATACAGTTCGACTGAAGGCCCACACCTCTACAAATATTCGGTTACAATTTCCACATCATTTTGCAGCATTGATTCTATTACCACGTTATAGTCATCGTTCTTAAAAACTGTTAACATAAACCCAAGGGCAAGCTTTACTCTACCTGTACATCAAATTAATTTTATATGTACCGCGCATGCAGCGCCAGCTTGGAACCTTAACCCGCTCTTACCTACAGTTATCTGTCTATCACTCATTATTGATCCAGTTATTGATGTAGCGTAAATTGAGCGCACTTGTTTACGCAACACAATTTTCATACTGATAATATATCAGTATAGACGATGCTGGTGATTGCCTTGGTGCAACGCTGTTTTGAAACATGCAAAATGAGAAAAAGGTTCGATTAACCAAATTAACAATCCGCTTTATGTAAAGCATTATAGGGTAAAAATGTTTCCCAGAATTAGTATTTAGTGAACCACAAAAATCAGATTCATCAAACGACTTCAAGGGGTCGTTTCTGGATGACACAAGTCGTCTACCCAAAACCTCGTAGAGTACAAGACGAAAATGGTTGACAGATTCCGACCCGCGCCTATTTTATCTTATTTCTGATTTGCTTAAATTTGATTTACTGGTTTAATAGCGGGTGAAAAGAGCCGGGATTGGCCCGGTAGCAGACGAGGAGCAGTCGGTACTGCCGGGATCGTAAGCGTCTATATCTGATGAAGGGTTAAAGTATCTCATATCTTGTAGCAGGATGGTACATCACCTCATACTAACAGAGTAGTGTAAGGCTAACTGCTTCAGAGTATGAGCATGTTCCGAAATGAGCACATACGGCTGTCGCACAACCGCGGTTTAGGTTTTGATTCGGTAGATTATTATGCATGGAGTGTCATTAAGAAAACCTAACGCACCATTCCAAAATAACGTCAATCGTCTCACTTGCACTATCATACATTGTCAATGGTAATTATATTGAATAACCGTCAAAAATGACTTTTTCAGCATATGAAAACATTTTGATAAAATATGTGCAACATAATAAGGAGCTGAGTTTAGATGAGCCTTCTGTTAATATATGTATATTTTACACACAAGACAATAATTGAAGATTCTCTTAGTAAACGTAGTAGCCTTTATGAGAATAAGTTATCAATTCCTTCTGGTGGCTTGCGGCCTTTTCTACAATGGCTTACTTTGTGGTGCAAGAAAGGTCCATCTCTCATTCAACCTTCGATTGCTTTAGACGAACGTCAACAAGCTAAATTGCATTAAAAAATGAGTTAACAGCACTCCAAATTAATAACTTAAGCAGCTTTCTGCTTGCGTACAGATAGGCGCAGTAGTGTTCTATGAATTCATTTTAAGACCATTCGGAGGATGGTTCTTTGAAATTCGAACTAAAAACTAGCACGACGCAGTCTCACATACAATGGCAGGTCATTCTGCTGTAAAAGATATTTTGCTGCAGGAATGTTTTATCCACATGTCGATCGTTTGGCTAATTTTGATTATACCCTTTTAAGAGCACAATTGTTCTTAGTTAAGCAAAGCGACCATGCCTAGGAGTAGATTAGAAGCTGATAAATAGTAAAAAAAAAAAGTCGGCGCACTTGAAGATAGAGCGATATATCCAGTGATTGACTGAAGACTTGTTTATGATTTAAAACGATAAGTCTAACTTCAATGTTATCTATACGATACGATAATTTCATAACCTATGACCCAGTTCAGCTGATACAGTATTATGCTCTCATCAAATACCACAATTGGACATCAATTTACATGCAAATACATCATAAGCATTTTCGGAACATTAATTGGCTCCATATTCGTAGTGAAGAGGATGTCGACCCTGCATTCGAAAAGACTCGTAAACAACTATATCATGAATATGATAGGCGCGTTGTGACAGTTTAGAAAAAGTTCTAATTCTCACGTGGCCTTTGACGGCTTTACGCGAACATCAATCAGCTGTAGCATTAAATGATGCTATGATGGGTTAACAGTATTCCAAGTTAGAAGATTACAATGGTTTCCGAAACCTACCGGAGTGAGGTACAGACCGTCCCTGTAGCTTCCCAGGTGTTGTTCTACAGACGCAAATTCAGGGTATTTGAGACTGGGGAGATCTATTAGAAAATTATAGTCTAAGAAAACTGAAGATTGTGCGGTCAGTAATGCTTTTGTATTCAGGGTAACAACTCCAAAATCCTTAAGCTGTTGATGACAAGCTATATATACATTTAATTCCAATTCTATTAGAGCTCATATAGATTCCACCATTGTCATCTATATTCAAGCCTATATGCGAGCAGAGTTGGCATCAATTTGGAAGTCAAACAAAGCCTTGTCTAAATTAGATTCCGTTAGTGCACTCAAAATCCAAAGGGTTCTTAGACATACATGAGTTTACTATAAGATTGAGAACAAGTGGGCCTACAAAAGTTTGTTTTTTTCGCGAATAATTTGTTTTGAAATCGGTCGTTGAAGGAGCTAGCCGGGAATTTCTACACTCGCCTGCAGGTGATATAAACGTGACCTTCCCTTTCGGATGTAAGGGTCTATTTCAAAATAGGTCCTCCATGGGCTTGAAAACTAAGAGCAAAGCTCACAAACACATGAAAGTAAAAGAAAAAGAACTGATGGCGAAGTCGTCTAATGGCTAAAATTACGAAACGTCCGGTGATTCAGGGATTCCAAGGGGAAACATAATCATGCGGGTAAAAAGGGTTTAATAGTTAAGCCTGCCGCAGGCGACTCAATTTGATAGAGCATGCTTAAACGAGATCAGGAAAATCTCTTAAGAAACTAAAGGCCAGACAATATTACTGAGTTTCCCCTATAACAACATAGCACACAGTTCAATGTATTTGTTCATCCTCTATGCAATCTCTCAAGAAAGAATGCTTAAAAATGCTAGAATAGAAATGAAACGAGAACCTATCCAAGATTATCAGGAGGGTAAAAAAGAGGAGAAAAATGGAGGTGAAAGTGGAGAAGCAGACAGTTATGTGAAGCGACTGCATAGTATGTATTTTTTTTTATCAGCATTACAAGAGTAACTTTTAAGCTTGGACCCCATTTTACGGAATCTAAATGGGAATATGGTTTCGGGTCTCCCAATTAGTATGTCAGTGCACTCTTCCATACCTCAATAAAAACAACTTTAAGAATATATCTCTATTATGGCAGTCTTCTGCATATGCCAACCGATTTTTCTTGAAACGCTAGAACCTTTGCGGTATGTATTAATCCTAGTAGATCGACATAAGTCACACGCTTGAAGTATAGGTAATCTAAGTTCATATGGGAGGTAGTCAGTGCGGGAGCTAATTCAGGATCGGCGTTCAAATCCTCCAGTTTCATAGTTTTTACAAATTTAAAGGTTTTGGTGCGCAACGTCTGTAAAGGAATCGCGGATGACATCATTCTGTCAAGCTGATTGAAACTCATGAGACAACAAAAAGGTTACCAATACCTCGTTGTAGGCCTTAGCATACTAAGTCTATGCTGTTCCGTCATATATCCTTTATCGATTTTTTTTTTACCTTACAAATATTTTTGATCGATTTTTAGCAGGTTGCATTCAACTTACTTAGCTTATGTTATTTCAAACTGCTAAATGCTGGGATCTACCCTAACAAGAGTTAATTAGATGGCAGACTCATTTCTTGGTAGTGGATTGTTTGGCGCTATTTTATACACATTGGTGCACACATAGCCCCATAGGAAACAACCGGAAGGTATTCAATCACAGAGCCAGTGCGACTACTCGGGTGTCACCGCAGCGCAACGAGATCAGCAGGCCTGGAAACGTTCAAAACAGTTTGACAGCCTCTCGGGCGTAATCTCGAATTAAAGGCACTAAGAACTAAAACAATGTTCTCATTGCGGCTTACGAACAACATAGTGTTTGCAATTGCCGTTTCGTTAACGGTAAGATGCTCAACACGTTCAAAGAAAAAGGACAGTGACCTCTGCTCTACAAGCTCTCTGCACCATATCGTGATTCTTTGATAGTTAAGTCGTTGGTCAAAGCTCACCTTTTTGTTTCTGTTCTCTGAGCCCCAAATGCAACAATTTATTTAGCTAGCTGCTGAGAATGAGCTTTATCAGCGAGAATATGATCAAAAGAATCAGTGATCAGCGAATAAACGACGTTTGTGATGGTCTTGAGCTTTCAATTGATGACTTTATTCTAGTACGTAAGAATAAAGATGCCGGTTTCGCTTTAAATGCATCACGAAGTGCCCCTCATTTGGCCGGGTTCTTGGACCGGCATCCGCACTAATTAATACTGTAGCAATGCTGTGCTTTTGTTTGTCTCCCTGGCGTTTCTTGATCAATAGCCTCGTGTCGTCCGTATTCTGTGCGACGCTTGTGACATTTAGTCGACTTTCATTTTCGGTGGAAAAGCAAACGCTGTTTTGAACTACTAACGTTTCACTGCCGCGAACCGCAAGATTTACTGTGTCGGTGTTTCGGCAGGCTACATTTACAAGTTTACAAACACTATTAAATGTCGTTTTAACTACTTCTCGTATAAGAACGTTGTGGCAACCCCATATTTGGAAAAATAGGGTTTCCTTGCTCGTCTTTAGGGTGTTAAAAGGTACAATGATTCAGGCACAGATTTTTTTCCTGCTTACCGCCTCTGTTAGCCCTTCAAACTATTGCCGTTCCAACCGACCACTTAGAGCCTTTCTTTGTTAACGACTTCAGTACGTACGCTCTTATATGCGGTTTACCATTAATTTAAACCACTTTCCGATGCGACTAAGGTGCACTGACCTCAGTAAAGCGAAAAAAAGAAATTGGAAAACCATATGATCAGGATGTGAGAGTAAAGTACCTGTTTAGTAAGATATGTCGAATAGGTAATTATTTCTGAATACTATTGTTGTTCAGTAAATAAGACATTGAAAATATGCAAATATTTTTACGAAATCACTAGCATTTCATCAATAAGCAGCAGGTCGTCTTATATTATACCCAAGCTACAATCCATGTTTTTAGGTCTTGTTGATTAACATAATACAGCTGAATCTAGCAAATCAAAATATGTATAGTCAAATAGTTCTTCTAGATCTTGCTTACTCTATCAATCATATACCATGATTATGAGCGACAGACTTTCGTTTAGCAAGTGTGTCTTTCCCTTATCTTTGATATTCGAGCCATGATGTTTGGTAAAAACCGAAAGAGAATCGTGATGCATTAATCTTCTGGTCGGTCGTTTGTATTGCGGATCTCGCCAGATTATATTAATGTCGAAAATGTGATTTAGTAAAAAAAAGATTCTTATTGTTTACTACAAATTGAAAGAGTTTTTAACAAAGATTTTAAATTAAAATTCCAGGTGGTAACCAAGTTTCTTCCATCAATGATGTCCTTGATGGTCGATGACCTAGTGAGACAGTTAAATTCACGTCTCCCCCAAGACGATCGCGAAACAGCCATTACAACAATTGAACATTCTGGACCTCCGCCTGATGCGTACCAGGTTAGACTTCAAGAAGATACAGTGTTGCCCATTTGCTTAACTGTTGACTCAAACCGTTCGAAGTGTATGTCGCTTAGTTCTTCTATCAACGAGGAATCGTACTAATAGGAAAATGCTTGACATTTGATGAAAATACGACGGCTATAGCCAAATTATATAAAGAATATAAAGAGAATATTGATCAATACATTAGGTTATTATTTCTGCGGTTTTTAAAGTATTTGCAGTTAAATTGAAACTTGATAGGTTCCTTTTCTGTACTGTTTAGCATTTGCTATGCTATTAAGTTCGTTAGTGACAGTTCTATGAAGTTAACAAACTCTAGGGGTCGAACAACGTTGGGTGATAGTTTCTTCGTCATTTCGGGGTTGCAGCTTTTGCTACGAAAATAAGCAGCATTCATTCTGCGGTAAAGACTCATTCTTGGCTCTATTACGTGAAAATTATCACGGTTAGCTTAGAAACTTATCGGAAGTTCTGCTCGAAATTTGCCGCATCACGCGACGGGCTTTCAATGAACTAAGCTATTATTGTTAACAGCATGATAATATGCATGAAATGAGAGTGATTTCTGCATTAAATTGCTAAAAGAAAAGAAGATCCTTTATGACATTGACCAATCCAGAAAAAAATAGTTCAGTTCCGAACAACCCTCGTTCACCACACTCCGAAAAAGATGCCTTACGATAAACCTCACAATGAAAAAATAAACGCAGATTGTGACTTGCATTCGCTTGTGGAATGACTTAGGAAAGAAGTAGGAAAGGTACACGAAGAGCGAAGACATATTGTTATATGATAGTATCAGGCCCAATGTCCTATCGCAAATTTGTTTCCTTTTTTATTATAATCGTTTTCCGCTTAAAAAGAACAACTGATCGACTCAACGCCGATGTTAACAAAAATTGCTAAATAGGTCAATACCGCTTTGTTTTGGCTAGAAATCCATTTTTCGTCCGGAGAATAGAGACACCCCAAACAGCTTATGTTGAACACGAGGGGCTGCTGTCCTCTACAAGCTAAAAGCGAAACAATGTATAGTTAATAGTTAGTAAAGTAAGCGGATAGGTTTACTGACAGAAACGAAACGTTTAACTTTTTATTTAAACGGACGTTTAAATAAATATGGATCTAATGGCTCCAATTGTAACTTTGATACATGTTTACTGTTTTTTCTTGACTTCAGACCACAAAGAAGGGACTCTTCATATACAACAAATACACTAGTCATGATGACATATCGCCTTAAATGAGAGAAAAATTTATATAAGCTATAATAGCTCAGATGAATAGGCATCCAGCAAACTTCGCCTCTAAAAATATGGTAGCTGGTTTAGGTGTTTTACGAAAAAAAAGTTTTAGACGAAAGTGTCAAGTAGGGAAAGGATATAACTTGAATGACAAGAACTTAAGTAACAAACGCTGTCATATAGCGAATCGTAAACGTGAGTATGTGTTTCAGCTCGACAAACTTGGATGACTGATCATGTTGGAATAGAGGAGCCACCCACACTTCCAAATTAGCCCAGTTATCCTTAACCTAGTTTTGTTTATGCGAATACAATTTATTATCATAATAATCCTAATACTTAGAAATAATATCCTAATACTTAGTAACAATGTTACGTAAGTAATAGTAACGCAGCGCAATAACAAAATCGTTTGCAAAAAAAAAATTGAATATGTATCCTTTTTCACGTTTCCATTCAAATTTTTTTGCCATTACAGTTCGTAGCATAAAGATGAGCAATACTCGCATAAAAAATATCAGTCACCTTATGTGAAAGATACCGTGTCAAATAAAGCTATAGTAAAAGGTATTACAAATCGACGAGAGTTCTTCAACACTAATTTCTGAATCCTCTGATTCTAGGCTTATATAAACGAAAGTGGAGTGGCGTGCATACTTGCGTGTTATTATACACTGCATACTGTTCGAACACGCGACAGAACGGGACTGATGCGAGTTCTTGGAGTGCTCTCCGGCGAGGTAAGGTTGAGGGAAAGATGGACCAAGAAATTAACCATGTCTTCTACTTTGGAAATGCCCGACCACATACACCTTTATTCACCTAGCAGAAACTTACAAGAACTTGGGTAGAACATTTTAATGCATCGCCCGGATCTTGCATTACGAAACTATTCTCTGTGTCACTCTCTGCAATACATTCTTACCAATATTAATTTAGTTTCAATGGAGGAATTACAAAAATCGTTTTCCGTATACAGAAACCGTCGAAGTTCTACAGTAATAGGATTGTAGTGTTACCAGAAAGACAGCACAAAGTCTACGACCAAAATGGCGCATATTTAATTTAGTTTAGATTTTTTTAAAATATAAAAATATTTTCTTCAATTTTAGCTCAAAAACCGTTAATGCTTTATTGAAACGTATGTCAGTGGCTCATACTGAGCCATTTTATGGAGCTATATATATATATATATATATATATAATTGCATTATGCCAATAAACTCGTCACAATTTCTGACAATGACACGTTGTTGACACCAACGACATGGAGTACAACTAAAGTAAAAATATATAGCTTTTATTTAATTTATTTTATTATCCATTTAATTTATCTAGATACGTATTTCTAGAAAATTGACTTGAATCTCTTTGCAAAATATCGACAGAATCCAGTTATGCATCTGCTTGAAGTCCAGTAGTCTTTAAAGCCCCGCATCACCTTGATTCGTATAGGGGACTTTTATAAGACGGAGTTGGTTTCAATTTACCTCTGAAAACGTAGCTTAGAGGCCGGCAGAATTGTGGTGAAAAATGAAAAGCTGGTTATCTTGCATTTTAATGTTCAACAGAAGTTCGTAACTCTCCCATATATCCCTAGTTTTCAAAACTTCGTTTTCAAAATGCAAATTGTGCTAAATTTCTGCTCAACAAATCCTGAATGTTTGATAGTATGAAAATTTTAAAGTAACGTCACTTTGCTAGAGAAAAAGTGGCCTATACAAACCGCCTAACCCTATTTCTGTGCTTGCTTTTTTACAAGGCGACGACAATGCAGAACTATGTCTAAAGATGTTTCCGGATCATTGCTTGTGTTACACCACATGAAAATTGTAAGATCATGTTGGATGCGCAGCTGAAACCTGCGAACTATATGATGGAAAGGGCGGGCCAACCTCGTTACATATGCCTCCTAATCCCCGAATAACCTTTTCATACATAAATAAACATATAGAGGAGGAAAAAAGCACAGAGGGTGGGTTAGTGAAAAACTCATCGGAAGAAGAGATTAGTGGTCGAGGGAAATCAGAAGTTCGCACTTGACTGTGGGAGAAATCAATACCTCTTCATTATTACCTCAACATAAGGAGCGATTATTTCATTATCTACATAGCTCAGCTACATACGTGGCTTTACTTAATCGTTTTCCAATGAAATGTTTACTCCCTTTTGATAATCTTGTACGATTGATTGTAACGGAGAGCCATTGAACATTAACTACAGAAGTAATCTTTCTTTAAGGCAACCCGGAACGATATGTAAATTGCTCTGGAATGAATTGTAAACTGGAATAGACAAAGGAGCGCATTTTTACGCTAAGCAGTCTTACTTTTTTACAATGAATTTCAAAGTACTCTAATATGTAAGAAAGGAATAAAGTACTTTTATTGGAAAAGAGGAAGCCCACGCTAAACGAAAGGTAAAGAACAAAGGTGCGGTTTGCGCTTCACATAGATGCATAAGAAATTTTGATGACTTAGTCTGTGCACAAAAAGCAGGAATTGCCATCCTCATGAATGATTCTTCAAATGCTTCTGGCAGCCTTGAAACAGTATTTAATAAGAGTGGATTTTAAATTCGTTTGGACAATAAAAAATAAGCAATGAAGATATTCTTGAACCCTGCGATTAACTAACGAGGTCCTGTTCGTACATAATTGAACATAATTTTCTTTATAAATTAAATTTATTTACCAACTCATAGGTTGGTAGGTGGGGTTCATGACTTTACGGGACGCGAATAATAATGATACGCCTTGTTCAAAGTTTCTTTGCAGTGCTATGGGTATGTACAGGACAAGCGTCTATTTTTAAGTATTGTTTCATGGTCGCTTGTGCAACGTACGGAAGACTCTTGATAGAAATAGGCTATTAGAAACTGTTTTTTGGCCAGAAATTATGGCAAAATGTTGCCGCATGAATCAGTAGTGGAAATGCTTACTGTTATGATCTAACGTCTTATTAATGACACTGAACCTAGTAATAACTGATATTTTTCGCGCAAATAAATTTGAAAGCAGTACGCATCACGTATGCTTTTTCATTTCTTGAAACCATCCGTAGGTCAACGTATGTGTTTGCTTAGTGTATAAAATTTGATATTGTAGGATAGACGAGCTTACAATCTAGCTAGAGCAGCGTGTTAATCGAGAAACGATATCTACATATCTGCGTATCTATATATCTATATATATATATCTGCGTATTTTAGGTTAACTGCAATGCGTATATATTTCTACATGATGTGCATACATTAATTTAAACATAAATATCATTGAATTTGTGTATGAAATATACATGGAAGGTGGCAGTTTTGTGCCCTGAGCATAACCCAAAGCAGCTCTGACGGTAGGAAATATTCAATTTCCTAGCGACCTCAATACAAGTAATACAGTTATTGGGAAAGTTTCAAGTTTACGCGTATCGGTCGATTGCTGACGTCGAAGCATCTTGAATCGGTAGCTCAGTCGAATGTTGACTTACATGTGGAATGTTAAGTTAAAGAAACGCTAAAACATTAACTTTTCCGATCTGAACTGCACGGCCAATAACTGTACTTTAGTGCTTCTTGTCGGTATGTAGACGATCTGGGCATCGGGTACGGGTGAGTGGTCTTGTAAGTGGGGGTCATTCATTCCAGCTACAATGGGTTGTAATATTGGTCTCCTGCTAGTAAACTCAACTTTCTATTTCTTCTTGTGCACTTGCAATACTTGGCCAGGTGCCAGCGTATCTGAAATATGCCTGCCACTTGAATATTGCTTGGAAAATTTATGAGAGGAAATACAGAGGTTTTGAGCACTCTATATGTACGGCGTGTGGCGTATCACTAGTTTTAGACCACTGTTTCTTCAAGTGTAAATAGTAGCTTGGAAAGGGTCTTTAGGAAGCAATGGGGGATTTGGTTTCGCTGCAGCATTTTGTCGTCCAGCGAATATGTAGATTCGGAGAAGATACTGAATACATACTTTTTAATATCATCTGCAGTTAACGTTTCATACTAATGGGGTTTAGTGAGTCGTTCGCAGTGATTCCTCTACGAAGACGATTATGAGTCATTTTTGGGCCATCGCTTTACAGAATCCTACGCTCTTTAATTACCCGGCTGCTCTATTAAACTTCTTTCACTAGGTATAAAATCTTATGCTGATTTTTATTCTTCTAGTGGCATATGTAATCTACAACTGTATTTTTCAAGTAAGTAGGACGTATGCATCAGTTAGTAGGTGAATTGGTCGACTTAAATTTTCATACCTTCTGTTTACGTCCCCGCCGTCCTCAAGGAGCATCTGTTAGATTATTCAGTCCAGGGCGAACTTTGTTAACGCTTATTTGTTTGTATAGTGTAGTTGTTTTTTGAAATTGCTTTGCTCATTATGCACAAACCCAGGTATGCAAACTTGGAGATATTTGCATGCAAAAATAGTATTCAGAGACAATCGGGTTGTAAACACTTGAGCGTCTGAAACTCCGTCGCCACTACATAGCACAATTTCGAGGAAAGGTGTATTTAATTAGTGAATGATGCGCACGGTGCAATTTGTAATAAACTATGCGAGGTCATCTTAGGTAGCGAAAACGAGGAATACAGTTTCTTCTGATCTGGTATGCTCAATATCTCCCAGCCGGTACGCAACGTGTCTAAATAACATTGTCATTCTGTCATCGTTCTAAAAGTATAAAAACCCGTTTATTATTCGATGACCTGTCCTTCTGAAGTCAGCATAGGTATATCTGTTCACTGGATTAGAAAGCTATGGTAACATTGCAAAATGTATTTTTCAGGGACCTGCCTACTCGGACGTTTTTTTGCACACACTTGTTGGCCACCTGGTGTGTCATCTGGCTGAGGAGTTTGCTCATGAGGACTTCTGCACAGTGATTTTCGACGAGTTTTTTCTCACGGCTTTAGCGCGCGAAAACGTCCTAAGGTTTGTTGAAGTTCAACTCAATTCGCAATTATATTATACCAATTGTCTTTGTGTTCTGAATTAATAATTAACACTAAGCTTTTCTCATGTCCATTAAATTATGTTGTTACCTGACATTGTATTTAATAATATTAGGTAATACTGCTGCCTATGTGACACTGTTGATACTAATATTTCCTATGTGGGTGACATGTTGTACCACAACCTGTCATGACAATGACCTGCAGGAAGGCCTACTTAATTAAATATAAAAGTATATATATTATTATTAGTTATATATATATATATTTTTTTTTTTTTCGCACCACTAGATATTTCATTGAATCCTGTCTTAAATTTCTCTACGAAAATTTTCATCCAGCGCATGAGCATACCGGTTCTTTAGAGTTCTGGCACCCAAAGTACGTTTATGAAACGCTAACTTTGCACGAGCAAGACACTCGAATTGCTTTGTAATCAAATATTCTTATGTCAGAATTATTTAGAATGATGCAGTTGGGTCCACATATTCTCGATGTGGAACGAACTCAGGGTTGAATCGGTGCTGTCTTAATAGACGTCAGTTTTTTTTCAAATCGTACCAAATTTTAGCACCTTTGCATCTTCAGTCATTGTATGCTGTTGTTAGTATGGCATATGATTATCATACTGTTTTATAGGCCTGTTGAAGAAGCGCCATATATGTCCTGGAAGATCCGCCCGGGCTAGATCTGCTAGGGGGGAGTTTTTGACACTATACTTAATCTGTGTGTTTTACGTCCCGTAAAGGTCAAGCGTGCTAAAAAATCAGAATATACATACCAAACAAATGTCCTGTCGGGTGGATTACTTTTGACGCAAAAAGGTTGCTGGGCTCCATTGCGCTACCACTGAGTCAGAAGGAGCTAAGTGTCTTTCATATGCCAACCTCTTCAAAACTTTTCTGCTTCAGTCTTTCCTATAATTATCTCAAGCCTGAGAATTTCTCGAGGCCAAGAGAGTTGGTTTTAAGATGCCAAGGTCTATAATAATAATAATGAAAGTCGCTATAGGATACGAAATCACAATTGAGAAAATACTCTATTTGTGTATACGAAGGCGAACAGTCAAACTGTACAGAGAAGAGCAATGGGTTTAAATTTTATTCACGGGTCACTCAGTAATTTCTGGAAAGGTTGGAACTCACCGACTGCGTCATTTGCGGTCACATGGTTCTGTTCCTGAGCAATTCATAAGATTTTCGTCGAATACATTATTGAGTAAGCTCAGAGAGTAGTCGCTCAAGAAGCCACATTAACGGCTTTGGGTTCTGCAAGAGTCGATTCGTAAGTAGGAGAGCTATAACTCCTTTTATTTGCTATGTCACATCAACTTGGTCCTTCGAATTTCTTCAAAGGTAAATCTTCCGCCAGTCGTTCGATGTTCTTATGTGCTGTAGAGATATGTAAAAGCGCGCTGTCCGACAGAACGTTAGGCGCAATGCCCACTTATGCTTGTTGCAAAAACGATAGGGGGCCACTGGCTTTTTTAAAAACAAATCGGATAATCCAGCAATCTGGTAAGATCGAGCAAATTTCCGAAAGTCAACGAAATTCCGCGTTTTTGGTGCCATGTAGTTAAAGGCAGTAGTGTCTCGAGAAACGGTCTTGTCGTTTCCCAAAGTTTTTTGAAAGTATTGGATCCGAACAGTGATAAAGCACTTCGTCGAGAAAAATTCTCTGTAAATATTTTGACAAGATCGCAAATGTAGGTATAGTGCGTTCGCTGTTAAATAGCCCCTTCACATTTCACAAGATTCACTCACACATTAGGGAGACTTTGAAAATCTTAATGAATTAAGGTCTCCCATGCTCATCAATATCGGTTTTGTCTACTAGAAGAAAGTGTTGCTGCAAACGCTTAAGCCATGGGACTTCGATCTACCACGCTTATACGATTGGCTGTCCATCACGGAAAACTGCAGAAAGGCATCGTGGCTTTGTGCCTAGATCTCTTTCAAGCAGAGCTAGAAACCCATGACCCGCCAAACAGACCAATGACCTTATGATCTAAGCCTAGGGCGAACATATGTTGCAGGCTAGCACGCTACGATAGAAAGTAAAACCTTCACGGAATTATTGTTAGGCAGCGTTTGATTTACCCATTTAGTCGTTGCATAGGCTATAGTTTTCCTCTAGGTTGTTGTAGCCCAACGGCCCGTTAAGCAATCTGGTATACACTGCGGAACCCACTGCGACGCCATTTGCACTTTAGCAATACCAACAAATGCGCACAGCGCGTTGGTCGTCTTTCTCTTCCGGTTTTGCTGACGGTCTCATTTACATCCAGGGCGGCAAAGTTCCGGGAAGATTTTTCCCACCACATTGATGGAGTTACAACCATCTTTTGATCAGCACAGTGATTTAGGTAATCGAGCTAGAAACGTGATGCGAGCGTAATGTCTCATCATCTAATGCAGCATCTCTGCGCTACTTTCGCGCGTTTTGAGTTCCTTATCATCTTTGAATCTTGTCTTTCTTCAATTCCTCGAATTTATATTAACCTTTTTATCTAGTTTTATCACGTAGCAAACCTTTATGATTCGAACAGTTTTCACTGTGGTTGTATAGCGTTTATGTCTCCTTGGCTATTCTATTAATAAGCCTTGGTGTACCTTTTTAGACTTTTCCCGATGTAAGAAACTTTTTGTTTCCACTTTCTTTGTTGTTGGTTTCTCAAATTCTACATTATTTGAAGTTATTCAATTGTCTAATTTGCTTGATCGACAACAATTATGTTTGGCTAACGCTAGAAGACTTTATTTATATCAGCTTATAAGCTAAGAACCCGATGATGCGAATAATGTATTGTCATCGTACACTCGTTAGCTCATGGAATTTCTGTTCATTTTGTTGTCTTTTTTAGTACGACGTATTTTATTTATTATACTTAGTAAAGGGATGGCATAAAACGGTAGTGCCACAAACAGTTTGTGTTTCTAAGATATATCTCCGTATGCACCGTAACAAATGATGTTATTTTATTAGGATGATAAAATTCTTCGAACAAGTATTTTTACTTGGTTCTAAAAGTATTTTCTTTTAGATAACTTTTGCTTCGAATATAGAATATGAATTGCTTGCTTTGAATAAAAATTCCTCGCCTGAGCTTTTGCGGGGTAATAAATCAAACCTTTTAAAGTGTATTAATCGTGAAACTTTTGCTACAAGCAAGTTCGCTAGCTCAACTTGCGCTTAATTAAGGAAGCGTAATAATCCGTATCATAGACGTTTTTGTACTTCTAAGCCCTCGTTATTGCGAAAAATAATAAATGTTCGATTATATCATTTTTTAGACATTATGTACACTTCAACCGATGACATTATCATGATCTTTTATATGATCCATTAGATTTCTTTAGACATTTTGAAATACTGGAACACTCAAAACCTTGTTAAAATATTCTCGGAAGTGTAGTGGGAATTTCTCAGACTTAGCAAAACATATTATTCTCTGGGCGTAAGTGGTAGGCAAAAAAATAAATAAAATATTGCCGATGCAGGTTAGCATCACACACTGATACAAACATTGTGTGTACTACAAATTCATACGTTTTCACACTTTTTTCGGTAAAACCCACAATTTACTAGATTATGAAAAAAAATTAATTTACTTTATTGTCATTGTAACATTATTAAGAGCTATAACTAAAAGAACTTAGCAGCGTGGAGTCATGATGTTATAACAACTTCTACATTATATATAGCTACAGGTCACCCTTCCACACTTGTTACAGCTTTATAGATTACTTATTAATCCGCTTCTATATATATTTTAGAAATAACTTAATGTTCTAATTATTGACATTTTAACAATATAATTTTCAAGTTTAAGAGCTATGAATTGAAAAATATTATATTCTTTGTAGACATACATTTTTTACAATATATATTTGTTTTAAGCCCTTAAATGTCATTTCAGGGTGGTATCACCTTTTGGCCGCTAGCCGGAAGCATTTGAAAGAGCGAAAGGTCACGAGCAAAAGCAATTAAATCTCATTAATTATGTGACATACAGGCCCAAGAGAGTGGTATCGTAATATTTGGTCTTGACATTGAGACTACGTTGGTGCGCATGCCTAAATTTTCCACAGGATATTTTATAAAACACACTATTGTTATTTTATCCTTTCGGTATTTTATTATGAGAATAAACTATGTCCATTTCTAAAAAAAAACATTGGAGAAACTGTACTTTAGATACCTTGTGAACAAACGTATTCTCCTTTTATTTTGCGAATGAAACAAGTCATGAATTATATATAAAATAAAAGACTAGTTAAAGGGATCTTAGAAAAATACCTATTGTGCATTGTTGCAACTAACACAAAATCAGTAATGTTAAGTATTTTCTTTAAGGTCTAAAATAATTTAAAAAATTATTCCTTAAAACGCTATTAATAATTTCTAATGAAGTTCTCTACCATAGCGGGACAACTAGTTCTTTTGATTCAGGCCCTAATGGCCATTTTCCCAGACAGCAAGATAGATATCGCATCAAGACTAGCAGCTTTGCGTTTTCAAAAATATTTTTTGCAACACATCCTAAGAAAAGTATAATTAGTTAAAAATCGTTTCCGCCCCCTGGAAAACATCAATGTGTAATCTCGCCAACGGTCTCAGAAGCTTAACTCTATGACTATTTATGACTATATATTTAAAGGCCATAAACTTTTTAAAGTCATAGACAGCCAAATGTGTGGGTTTGTGAGGAAGGTTCGGTGTTTTTGGACTCATGAAGAAGCCATGTAGTAAAATTAGCTCTGAAAACGAACATCCAAATCGCTTTTTTTACGTGGATGCACTCCTATAAGTTATTATACAAATTCCTTAAATTAAGGCGCAACGGTGCTATATTTTCCATAGGCCATATATTATAATCATGTTTTTAAAAAATTTAAAATTTTATGCAGGCATCTGCTTCGGCTCGTATGGCACTCGTTTCATAAGCTGGCTGCCAGCAGGCTGGACATGCTCATGAAGGCCCTTCAAACAATGTGTACGGTAAGGAACTGCAAAATCCATGATACAACCACTAGCAATAATAATATAACTAATTAACATCTCTGCAAGCATAAGACCGCATTTGACTTGATTTATCGGATTGAAGCATTTTATAAGTGACCTGAACAAAGGGAGGAAAATGACGAAAACAGACGTTTGGTCAAATAAGTGGTATGCGGTATATCGTACTAGGATACGTTTTCGGAGACGACTTCCAGCGTATTAACGTCTCTAATAATATAAATCCGCCCCTTGGATCTGCAATTTGAACTCGATTCCGAAAACAACCTCATCGCCACCGATTAAATGCTTTAGACCGGAAATAGGGTTGAACGTCAGCAAGTACACGTGATGCGGCTAAAAAGTAGAACTGTAGTAAAGTAGTCTGTAAAAAGTAGTCAATCTAAACAAAGCAGCGTGTATCACAGATAGCGATTCCCACTAATTTTCCGTTTGCGCACGTCCTCGTATATTGTATTAGGACGTTTCATTGCTCATGAACAGTTATTTTGTGGAACGTAAATCCAAAAAGTTAGTGAGGCCCGGAAGAGTGTTTATAGTAAATGCAAATGAGACTAGAACCACAGAGTGATACTAGGTAACTTGGCAAGTAACCGAACTCTGACGAAAAACAAATGCCGATGTGAACTGGTAATGTTCATTCATATTCAGCAGAATCCCCTCAATGACTGCATGCAGTTTGGTACTTAAAGTCATATATCAACATAGTTGAAACCCTTTATGATGTTTAAGTAAGGAACAGCCACTCACATAGCTCTGACCGAATGGGGCAGTTGTTCAAACTTGAGTTTTCTTAGTCGCAACACTCGGAAAGAGCATAGATTGCAACGGGGTTTTGTTCTAATCATCGCAAACGTTTTCTTAAACAGTTAAGGTTAAATAGGTCACTATAATAATCGCTTGTTACTTTCCTACTGTTAGCGGAATTAACCCGAATCTACTCGTCATATTCTGAAAAAAGCAGTCAAATTTTTTTAGCGCACTTCTTCTTTTCTATCATAATTGGTATTTTTAGTTTCGACAACGTCACTGTATACAGACGCTATATACGAGAAACTGAATCCAAAAATATTAATAACTCTAGATAGAACCTTTATTGATTATAGACTAAATCTAAATCTCAAGTCATTCCCATCGACGCCGCTTAGCGGTACCAAAAATATTAACATAACTAGAAAATCATTGGCAATCACGTCACGACAACCAATACCAACCACCAGTTCGTTCTTATGTGATCAAGGAATAATTTAGAATCTGAGGGCTTGACGTTGATTGAAGGAGGAATGAATTACCAAAGCCTTAGAAGACCAGTAAATCTATATATGTATGTCAATCGACAATTGTACTCTCCCATAATGGCATATTACTTACCTTCCTCACCAATTTTTGCAAATGTGATTTCTTTTGTCTTTGAGATCTTATTAGCAAGGCCTAAAAGCTGGCACCAACAGATGCCAATCAGAATGTAACGGCTTACAATATCAACAAATTCAATCCGAGAAAAATTTTTATGAGTCCTTGAAAAAGAGATCCATGTTATAGCTACCCGGGACGTATAAATATTTTAGCATATATAAAGGCCGACGCCTACCCCCCGCAACGCCGTCCGTGTGTCCTCCAAAAACATTATCTCTTTCTCTCCAAAAATTTAACTTACGTAGCGTTTTTGCTAGGAAATCACCGTTCATTAAATATAAAGCCTTTCAAATTATGTAGGCGTGTTTTTGAATCACTTAGTTGAGAGGTAAAGTGTGCATTTTCTATGCATTGTATTTCCTTGAAGAATAGGAGAAAATATACTATACATATTTATGTCACAAAAGAGGTGCTATATATGTGTTCTAATGTTAAACGAGTATGATCGTCTCCAACTAATGACCGTAGAATAGCCTACGTGAATTCTCTTATTCTGTCAAAAAGTACGAGAGATTAATATAGTCTTGATCGACCAGCCTTGCCTCCATTGCAGAAAAATTATCCATTAGCGAATTCAGATCTTTAAATTCATTCGAGTATGATTCATAGTCATATACATATGAATATAAAACGTTTATTCTACTGCACAACTTAATGACTGAAACTCGGCTAAAAATTTTTTACTCGTTTTATCACTAATTTTTTAGTAATATAGGTATATTTAAACTATGAAAAGCATGCCAAGGCAAGATCATGGATTTATAGCCCTTTGTAAAATTATCATGAGTAATATACTAACAATGTTATTGAGTTGTGTTGAATAAACTGTCTTAATTTTACTTAAAAATGAAGCGACTTATCAGCAGCGTGGCAACAAAGGTCTAGAAAATAAATTTTATTTTTCTAGTGGAATTTATTTCGGGTATCTGGTGTCAGTATTCCCGTCTGTCGAGGCTACAGATTTTCCCGTAACATAGTATACGAGCCTTGATATACCGAAGTGGTTAGGGGAATAAAGAAAAAAATCAGGTGATAAAAGTAAGGAAACCTGATAATCGAAAACTAGGTAAATCGTTGTTCACATTAATTATTCCTTTCTTGATTTGCTTTCGCTTTACAGGGAAATCATAATTTGACACCGTCGTTTGAGCAATTGAAAGAACGTATATCTACTCAGCAAACCTCGATGTCAGCAAGAGTCCCACAACCAACTGATTCCCCCGTATTTCAAGTACCTTGTACTCCTCATCATAGCTACTAAAATTGAAATAAGAAAAGTTGACATTGTCTCCTAGATAGCAAAAGGTTCATATGTACACCAAAATATTGATTTTGCGCAACGGTTTTTTCATTGCAATTTTTGGCTGTTTGTTCGGTAAGACTGTTATATATATATATAACAGTCTGACTGAATATATATATATATATATATATATATATATATATATATATACAATAGGTTCCTTATAACGGTTAGGATTTTAGAACCGATAAAACAATCGTGCTACATTTGCATATTGTTCCACTATTGCTCGATCGCTTCATGAATCAAGACTTAGTACAACATTTTTCTCTAGCTCAACCGTGTCAAACATTGCCGTTTTCAAACCTGGAGCATTCTTATTAATACCATGTATTGAAAATAACCTTAGCTGCGCTAGTTTAATAATAACTTAAGCATATAACATTGCATTGAGTGAAGCAATATTTTGTCGTATCACTTCTGAAATATATTGTTTCTTTAAAGTTATCCACCCCTGGTCCTACTCCCTTTCGAAAATTAGCGTTAAAGCCTTCCTGATAAGTACAATGCAGGTAAAGCACAGACCTCTTTTTTTTTTTTTAATCCGTTTAAGGACTGTGATAATGGTCTTTCTAATAAAGGAATTAAGGCTGAGAAGGTCCTACAAATTCAAACGAATACACTAAGGAAAAATCAGGAAATCAGGAAGATGCATTTTCATTTTCAGAAGTATCTTCCGAGTGTTTGGTACCCAAAACTTATCAAGAACTTTTGTTTTTTCTCTTGTACGTTCGGTATTCAGCCGCATTACCTGATAAGGCTTAATACCAACACGACATAGTGTACCTACTTTCGCATTCAAACCTGGACCACCACGTGATCTAATACCTCTAATAAAGCAGGAAAATACTAGCAATACAAGCAGGAACTACTGCGCTATCACGGAAACGAATATCAGAGAACTTTAATGATCTACAAGTATAACCTCTGTTATATCCATCTGCCCAACCCACAAGTATGATAAAATCCAAGTAAAACTACAGTCACTTTCTAATAAAGAAAGCTTTTCCAATTTTAACGTCAACGTCTATATAGGAGCTGCAATCGTACTATCGGCATAACTTGAAAGTAAAATATTTGTTTTCGACTTTGTTATACATATAGATTACAAGATTCACATTGCAGTATGCATATGGGGTGCCACTATGATGAGAAAACAAACTGTGCATTTTTCCTAGTATATTAGTGTCTGAGCTGGGCATATATAAAGTCTACTAGTTCCGTTGCACTCACTTATCACTAGTCAAGCAAATGTCGTACCAAGAAGTGCACAACGTTACGTTGCGCTTTGCGCAAAGGGTCCCCAAACTTTTGTTCAATTGGAACTCATGTACGTTGTAAAATAGGCTCGCAAGTTAAGTCAGGTGATGTTAAAATAAGATTTCTTTTAAGGTTTACGTATAAGACAGAACAGAATTATAGTTGCTTACACAGTAAAGGATTCAGACCGCGCAACTGCGTCATATGAAATTGCGGTTCTATGGTCTTCCTTTGTGAATCTTCTTCGTGATGAGGTCCAGTAGCCAACGAGAGGTATGACATTATTTGGGCCTATGACCATGTTCCAGATAGTTTTTGAACATTGCTACTATATACCTCGAATTTTAATTTCTAGTAACATTTTTCACCAGATTCTAATACACAAGTCGACGTCTTAGACATATTGCGCTTTGTGAGTCCAACTGAGTACTAAGTTGGCGACCTCTTTAAAATCCTTCAACGTCGTATAAAAAAGCTTAGACAGTCGCTCTAATACATGCATATGCGTCTCGCAGTTGGTACATAATGACGCATAAAGGTTGCAAAATTACAATGGAAGAAATTCAATTTGCTTTTTTTTGAAGATGTTTCGGAGAATAAGCTTTGATAACCATGGCTGCATCTAAGTAACTTTGAGATATCCGAAATGTTTTCACACGTTATAAGGCTCCGATAGGATAAAACTCGGAGCTCCAGTTACGTAGCGGAAGACGCCGTTGTCAGTCAACTTCAAAAGCAAAGAAACTCAAGGATATATTCACGTTGCCACGGAACCGGAAAAACGGTTGCTGACTTTTCTTGCTGCTCCTAGTAGATCAACTGCATTAGTATCTAAAGATCGTTCATGTCGTACCTAATAAGGAATATGGATTCAAACTGCAAACATATTCTGCATACTCTCAGCTTTTGAAGGGCCAAAATCTCTACGCCATTCTCATCGACTTTTGATCAGCATTCAGCATAACTTGCTCGGCTGAGAGTTACGGCATAAGTACTCGAGTTGATCTAAAACATCTTGTAAGTCATCGTGGACGCAATTTTTTCTCACTGGTGATCAGCAATCTACATGACGAAGCACAAACCATTCCAAGTAGGTGGTATCTTATATGGTAACAAATCTGATATCTTTGCGGAGGTTTTTCCTATTTTTTATCCTAAAAATAGTTTCAAAAAGCATTTCGATAGCGTACGGACAACTCATAGTTCAGTGAATATTTTAAAGAAAAATCAAATATCTGTGACCAGGTTAACTCACGGTTAGAAGATACAATGCTTAGGTACGTTACACCCTGGTATAACTGGGAGTAACATTGGCGTGCAATGGGCATCTTTTTTTGCATAGTTATAAGCCAAGCTAGTGGTAATAAAAGCAAAATAGTTAAAAAGCCGTCCAAGCTGTTCTCGAAGCTTACGTGTGTAGTCTTTAATCATTATATGGCTAAAACTGCTTTGTTCAGAATATCCCTTATGTGGAAGAAATTGACTGTCAACGTTATCTGAATTCCCTCGATTGTATGAAACTATCCTATTTACGGTATGTTCTCGTGTTCCCCGCTCCGGCCAAGAACTAACTCATCTTGCTACGCGACTTTTTGCGGCTTGTGGAAGCTCTACGGCAGAGATTCGCCGCATCAAAAATGCCAGCCTATCGTCGACAGATCACTGAATAGGAGAATAAAAGCGTTACTGTCTAGTTTGCAAGTAAAAGAATAACGACAGAAGGAAGGAAGGAAGGAAGGAAGGACGTTAAAGAAGAGTGACTAGTTTGCAGTTCGTCATGATGCCCATGAATTTCACTATAATCTGTGCGAATAAGCTGTTTATCACCAGCCGGAGGAGAACTGCCTATATGCACGATATGGGTAACGTTGGTATTTGTCGGAAAGTGACGACCCTATCCAAAGCAGAACAGTTGTAGTTCAAAGGGTGTAAATACTTTTTTATATATAGTATATTTAAATATACTTAGTCTGATTATAAAAAATGGTTAGATAAGCTACAGTATATACAAGTCTTACTCGCTCATATCAAATGAACCAAAGAGCTTTAGTTGCACGCCACGAAAGGTCTTCTCCACGATAGGGTTTTGCATTTTATAGAACCCTTTTCTCATTTTTTTTTTGTTTTGTAGTTCTTTATAGATTACTTCTGGGACCTATTTTCAACATTCTAGATATGTCTTTCATGTGCCTTAGATAGTAATTCTTCATACTTTAAACTTTCCGTAACTAACTTGTCACTCTATTCAAATGACGCGTGAAGTTCACATATCGACGAGAAGAACAAACAGGTTAACAAAAATGGTTTTCCATAAGCTAAAAGATATCAGTCGTAATTACAGCGGTAATTATTGGCGGCTAGTACAAAGTTATGACCATATTTGCCAGCGAAAATTCAGCTAGGTATAACCTGTCATTTGCGACATTCTGAGCTAATCTGTTCCATTCAGTTGACATCATTCCATAGCGTCAATTAAACTGGTGCAACATTCAGAAAATAACTTCTTAGAAGTATACGTCGGCCGTAACGAATAGTTGCAGGAAAAATAAGAATAGAAGGTAAAAACAAAAGTATCCATATGCGTACGTTTGTAAAATCGATACAGTGTACTTCACTCGATGAAGATCTGCATATCTCGTTACTTAACAGCGGCGGACATACGAATAATACTTTCCTTTCAAGTCCCTCATTATTCCTCACTGTACCTAGCTATAATCCAGCTTAGCATAACATTAGGCCCTATCTTAACGTTTCGGGATATCAAATGCGTAAATAAGGTTTTCGCTGCCGTACCGTCTTCGGAGACATTGAAACTACCGTTATGGTGAACAAACGAAGTTTCTTTACTAGAAATGCTTAACTAACGCTCGATATCGGATCGGTGCGGAAGTTCACTAAGAACACAACGCAAGTATGCAGTACCGTTCTAGGTATTATGTCTGCAAAATCAGGTTATTAAGTATAAGCTAACAATTCGATTAGAAAACGCGACATGTAGCATAGTTTTCTACAGTAGGTGACCCAAATTTTATATAACCTAAAAAAACATTCTTACTGCTCAGTTGTAGTCTCATTGTAAAGTATATAGGTACAATATAAAAACCGTAGGCAATACAATCCTGTAATACAGTCTTCAACGACCCCCACAATAAACATGAAATAGAACGGACCTTCGTTTCCCCGTCTCATCCGGGGGTCATACATAATAGGGGGGACGTAGGCACATTTAAAAGGGCCAAACCGCCCACATCCCACACCCAGTCACATTGAGCACCTGCTCAATATGCTAAGTTATTATGATCATCAAACTCACTTTAAATCTAATTTCGGTTCAGAAAAACGCTTTTTTATATTTTATCCTGCGGAAAGCATAAAAATACAACAGAAAAAAATATCAGTGCTTTCACAGAGTAAAACTAAGATCAGTCAATGTTATTTATCAATTTAGTTGAAGCAAACAAGCTCTTCAGTAGTGCCGAAATCACAACAAAGCGTAAGTTGGGAAGTTTAAGCAAGTTGTTCAGTTGGGAACACGGGGTAGGACACGGAACCGTCATGTACATACTATTACCATTTAATTTATTGAGAATTAAATAAAAAGGAGACGGACGGCCTTTGATGCAAAAATGTGGCCTTATATATTTTATCGTGAATCATTCTAGTCGAAAATGTCGTACTCCATCACAATTTACTTTCAAATACCATAACCATATTTCCTAATGTGAATATTTTTGGTGTGAATTTTGTAGAAACTAAAACGGGATTCAGATAGTCAATACAAATCGAGATAGAAACGTGGATAATTTTGCACGGAACGCATTTGTTGGCTATAACCATTGTCTGAAGATTGCAAAAAGTAGAAGCTTTTTTAAAGCTGAGCGCGCTGATTTTAAATTACAGAGGGCGCTGTTGCGGGTAGCTCCTCGCCGGTCGTTGGTTAGTGGTTGCGCCGCTTCGTGCTGCGGTGACTACCTGTGACGGCTTCACACAGGCGGACAGCATAAACCATCATCAACGACGGAGCAATCCACATTCACACCGGCTAAGCGTGAGTTGCAAGCTTTTTACGAATTTTTCAGGTATTTTATACATAAAAGCACCGTACCTTTACATCTTTTAGAATATGAGCACCTTAATGTGGTCGTGAGCCAAAATGGGCAGCGTTTTTTTTATAATCTGTTAAATTTATAGCAGTGCGCAGGGGGTTAAGTGTGTAGTTCCATAGGCCTAACAACAGTATAAGTGACAGTGCTGCCAATTATTTTTGAGGTACGGGCTGCACGCCGGTTACCGAGGCCTGCGAGAACCCCCGAGAGTTGCTAATGCACTAGTAGGATCGTTTGATTTACATGTGGGTCGATACCCATTAATAAGTGAATATGTGCTCCATGTTTTATTACCCATCGATATCCAGCGGAATGGATCGGATGGTATAATAATGTTCAACCACTCCAATCTGCGGCAGCCACGCAGTGGAGAGTACGGGGTGTGCGCTGCTATCTGATATTCATCGGTATTGTTGGATATTACTACTGAACAAGCTGCACATTTCGCCAAACTTTCATTAGTCTCAGATTAGCTACTTAAATACTAGCGCTGAGTCTATAGTCCCACTAAGTCTGAATCGCCGTCGGGAAATATTTGGCTTATGTGATTGTTCCCTGCATGGCAACATGCGGATTCTGCACCACGCGCCTTTACTCTACTCCGCCTATGCCATAATATCGTGTTAGAGAATTTTAAAAACGCCACTGGCAGCTTTGCAGTTCGGTTGATTATGAGTATTTTTGTTTAGGTTTATTCTAAAGAAGCTTCTATTAGAATCGACTGCTTCTACGAAGTTGTGTAATAAGGTTCCCATTACAAGGACATTATGGCTGTTATTTTCATAGCGAAGTCCTTGTGCATAAGATTGTTTAAATAAAGAACACAGATGACTAAAACAATTAGCTACATTCCAGTAGCGCCACAGTTTTATGAGGACCATGGCAGGTTTAATCCTTGAAAAAAAATTTGTCGCGTTCTATAAAAATTTACTGCGTTTGATGAAGATAATTGTAATGGGTTTGTTTTTAACCTGTTATGTCAGTTTGCAATGATCAGTGTTGTTTGTGGTTGGACCCAGTATTAGCCCAGGTACGTTTTTCCTCTTAATGAAAGCGAACGTAGGTTACATTCAGTTGCTTTTAGAAAGGCGTTGTTTACCGATTACCGAAACTATTTTTAGAAACGAAGTATTGTTTATCATTCAATCCTTATCCATCAGTCACTACTAAAAGCTAGCGTTTTATTTTATCTTCCTCATTTCTTCTTCGTTTACCGCAAGACGCTTATTAATTGCAAGTATACATGATAGGACCACATAGTGATAATTTGAAGGTAGCCATGGATTTCGAATTTCACTGTGACTCATTTCTTCCTCCACGTTAAGCTTCAGCTACCAATTGAATATGGAGGGCCATGCGTTATACAATTTTCCATTACAGTAATAGAGGTCGTTTTGAATATCGTGATTTAATTGGTTAGGGGATCCTTATTTCGATATCAAGGTCTTTTGTGGCCGCATTGGAAAATTTCGCACTGGGATGATACGTTTAAAGTGAACCGAAGTTATAACACCAATATTTAATATCGGTGCAGTAATATATATATATATATATATATATATATATATATATAATATGATAACTTTCAATGGCATCGAAAACAAGTGTATGGTGAACATTAAACTAGCGGAAAAAATGTCGCCATTTTTGGTAACTGCTTTTTTGTTTCAGTTTGACGTTTTCCTAATCATCAAGTACTAGAGAACCTTTATAAATCTATGTCACCGTCTTACTGAGATTTTTTTCGGGCTTTCGGCTAAGCGCGACAATTCTGAGAAGCCATGTTTCCTACTACGGTTTTTAGAATAAAAACCGTAAGTAAGAAACAAGTGAAAAGTCAACAAAAAGGTCATTAAAACACGGCTAGAACAATGACAGTTATTAAAATTAAAAAAAAAAAACTAGAGATGTACCAAAGGTAAGCCATCCAAGCCGACTTGGTATCTTGATTAAGATACCGATTTTGTTTGAAAATAGCTAACAAAAACATGGCCGTATGATTCATAGAGCATAAACAATGAATTTTGTTAAAAGAACAAAGTCATAAAATTTTGTTTCTGTATATATATGTATAGCAACAAAATTTTATTTAAATTAAATTAAATTAAAATTCTTTAGAATTAAGAAAACTTGTAATGATAATGATATTATAACTAAATATGTAAATGACTCATAACTTACGAAATAACAAATCAAAACTCATACTAATTACTATTCTAGAGTTTCTCTAATTGGTCTCTAGAATAGTAATTAGTATGAGCTTTATCTTGGAGTTTTGATTTATTTCATGCTGTAAGTTTTTTTAATTCTAAAGATATTTGAAGTTTTTGTAGTGAACTGTTACAAGCAAACTTTGAGACTTAACTCGTGAACTATGTAACGCTAAGAGAGTCTTCCTTCATCGTGAGACTTAACTCGTGAACTATGTAACGCTAAGAGAGTCTTCCTTCATCGTTAGAAAGGCAATTGAAAGTACATATTTGACAACGCCAGGCTCCATAGCTGTGCTAAATTACTTCCTGGACTAAACAATGAATGCCCAACGTTGGCTTATTATCTTGATGTAAGGCCGTGTGACAATAAGGATCTCAATGCCCTAAATGGGGCAATCATCCCAATATCGGTTTACTTCGAGAAGTCATAGATAGGGAAATAAAATATAGGAGCGCAAATGGTAGGTATACGGCTGCTCAAAGTCGTCAGAGCTGTGGATGTGCAAACAATTTTTTAACACATTAAAAATTATCCATCTAGCCCAGGTAGTTCAAAAGTTACTAAGCCTAAAAGTATAAAAAATGGTGAACCAAAAACAAAATTAATCTGAACAAAATTGTGTTAACTAAGGAAGGGCTTTTCAATCTTTCTAACAACAATGGCCAAATCTATAATATCTATAACATCTAAAATAATTTGGTTATTGGTACACGACAAATTGGAATTAAAGGCAATAATCAAAAAAGGTTTCCTGTTAGGAAAAGTTAGGAGTGCTCTAAGCTTTATTCAAATCTAGTAAACGTATTCAAACCCAGTCAATTTTTACTTTCATAAAATATTCTTAAATTTTGACGGAAATTTGATCATAATAAATGTTGAAATTAAAGTGTCGCCTAAAATTCTTTTGACAAGTTGCATTGAACTAAGTTTATGCTCTACTAATGTAATGTGACATGTCATGCACACTCGTGATTATTTAAAATTAGTGGGTGTCTATTATGGATTTGATGACTCAAGTATATTTTTTCTCATATTTTCTCTGCTTAAAGGTCCATCTGTGTCTGATCGAGTCCAGTCCCGAAGTATCCGAAGTACCCCTTGGCAGCTGATTGTCGTGCTTATAACCGTAATGGTGATGGACGGAGGCAGCGTGGTGGCGCAACAACCAGCGACGCCCACGGCCACAATGAGTACCACCCCGCAGCAACAGCAACAACAATCTGGACAAGGGCAAACACAACAACAGGGCCAGGGAAACCAGACTGGAGGTGGAACATTAGAGGGGGCCCCAAACGCCACGCGCGTAGCTCGTGAGTTTGTGCGGCAGTACTACACTATTCTACACGAATCTCCAGTACATCTTCACAGGTTGGTGGCCATTGGGTCGGTTATCTTTGAATTCAATGGAAAAACACGTGCAAAAATGTTTGTGTAATTAGGATTTTCGTGATCCCTGTGAATGGTGAAGCTTTAGTTAAATACTGATGGTAGCTCGACAGATCTGAAATGATCCGCGCCAGCGGTCTCTAATAGTATTTATACAATAGCAATCTTATTGATAGGCGTACCGTGAATCTAAAAAGCCGTTGGTAGGTTGGCTGGATGGTGGGTACGTCTGTTTTTTTTGTGAATATTGTTGGGAGTTGACAGTGCTTTCAAATTACCGATGTGAAGGTTGTACACACATGATGCTGGAATAACAGGCAGTTTTGACCATCGTTGAAAAACTAAAAGGTTACACAAACAGAATGAAGCCCCCTATAGCATTATAGCAGATCGCTTATCGTCTAACTTACTTGCTATATGCTGACTCAGGTTCTACAATGACGACAGCGATTTCATTCATGGAGGCCTCGACTCGTCCTGTGGTCCAGGTGCAGCGACGGGTGTTCGTGGTCAGCAGGAAATCCATCGCACCATTCTAGCACTTAATTTCCACGATTGCTATGCTAAAATAGCTTACGTAGACGCCCAGGAATCAACGAATAAGTCGGTAGTGGTCCAAGTCGCAGGCGAGCTTTCCAATCGGGTACGACTTTGTGATGTGTTGAGCATATTTTAGTGCTATGAACAGATCCTTAGGTTAAGGATGTGATCAGTTTTAACATCGACAAATACATCTTTTCCACGCGGGGTCGCCTAACTCTAGGTATGATGAATATTAAGCAGCTTTTACTTCGCGACACGGGTTACTTTACAACTATCACATAATCTGTAATTATCGAACAGTTTATGTAGTAGTAAAAGTGATCACGTAAAATATTGGATTTGTGATGTGCTCATTAATTAAACCATCAGAATTCGTATTAAATAAGGTATCCTGATTAGACAATGTTATTCAGCATGAAGCGAATGTTTTTACAGCTGTAACTTCATTGATTTGTTGGAGAGCGTTTAGGCAGTAGTGAACTCAACTATTTATTTTGCTTAATATTGTACCTATTGCAGGGTAGTCCGATGCGTCGTTTCTTGCAGACCTTCGTTCTTGTACCCCTGTCGGCTCGCAAATACTACGTACGGAACGACATCTTTCGCTACCAGGACGAAATCTATACGGAGGATATTGCGGATGAAGACGAGCTGAATGCGAATGAAGCAACAGCATCTTCCGCGTCAGGCAGTCAGCATCATCATGGAGGTACTTTGGCCAATGGCGGGGGCGATCATGGACATCACGGTCACCCTTCGCCTGTAAATGGCACACCTGAAACCTCGATGTCTAGTGTAAGTGCTCCACAAACAGAGAAAATTTATCACAGTCAGTCACCGCCCGACCAGGGAGCGCGTAAGGACGAATCGCGTGAGGAATCTGTTACCAGCAGCAACAATAACAATATTAACAATAACCAATGGGAAGGTACGACTGGTCAGGGACAGCAGCAGGTTGCGCCAGCAAAACAACAACCACAGACAGCAGCCACCAGCGCGCAGAGCTCTCAGTCATCTACAACAGCATCCGGAACAGGAAATATGTCAGAGAATTCTACTGCTGCTGCAGTAGCAACGTCACCTGATGCGTTGCCAGCCGCCGTTTCCGTGTCCACTCCTCCCGTAAGCACGGCACCCCGTAGTTGGAGTCAGATGGTGCAAGTCAAGGTTCGTAATTAAGCATTGGACAGGTCGGTGCTGAATGAGATGAACTTGTAATTGTACTAAGTTATAAGTTGTGAAATTTAAAGTAATAGCTAATACGCTTTGGTTTGCTTATGTCAACTTAGGACCTACAGTATTATACCCATTGTTTCGTGATTATTATTCAACGCAGCATTCAGTTAGTATCTATCGAATTAACAAGTTGTAGTATTGTTGCTGTTATTTCTTTGTTTACGAAACAGCCTGCCGCCGATCCTACACCTGTTATAACTGGTCAGCATCAACAAGCTACTTTTGGGCCCCCTGCCAATAATACCAGCACCAATCAACCTAGTAATACATTTGGGGGATCCTCTCCCCAATCTGGTGCTGTGTCAGGCGGCATGCCACAAAGGCCTCAACATAATCGCCAAGGCGGTCCTGGGGGACCGCGTACAAACGGTATGGGCGGAGTAGGTCCTGTGAAAAAGGACGTTGGTTCAGCGTCACCCCGTGAAGACAGTACACCGGTTCCGACGTCAGCAGTTCCTGGAGGTAATGATACCAAGAACATTTATAACGTGCCGGATAATCAACAGCTCTTTGTAGGAAATATTCCAACAACAGCTACGGAACAGGATCTACAGGATTTATTCAAACAATTCGGCAACGTCATTGGATTCCGGCTTCAGAATTCAAAGAATAGCTCATCTGGAGGAGTCACAGGTGGAAAAGGCTCACTGCCCAATTTCGGTTTTGTTTTGTTCGATTCCGCCGAACCTGTTCGGAAGTTGCTGCGCGAGGGTCCCAAGACGCAACTACTTACACTTCCAGGCAAGCCTCCGGCTGTGCTTAACGTGGAGCAGAAAAAACCTCGTGCAGGAGCAAAGGGCTCTCGTGGTCCAGGTGGGGCATCTGTCAGTGGAAGGCCGCCGATGACTAACGGTGGTGGAAGTGGTGGTCGCCGAGAGTACAGTACCGGTGGGGACAGGAGGCCGCCCCGCAGTGGAATGGGAGGCCGAGGACAAAGTGGCAGCGGGCATGACGGGCAAGTTGGACCCACCCAACACTGAACCAGATTTTATAGCCCGCTTAACATTGGGTCTCATCCACTTATACACCTCAACCTAGTTGACGCAATTATCCGTCGGCCCCAAGATTCACGAAGTGCTAAATTTATTGCGCTTCGCTTCAAAACGCTTACTCCTTTCTTATATCCTGTCGCATTGAATGCTCATCTATCAGCTCCTCCACATATTTGCAATGCGAATGGGGTCAGTAAGCGAATAGAGATCAGAGATAAGAGACCTATAAGCAGGTAAATTTCAACGTGTAAGTGGTAACTATATACATGTATGTAGTACGAAATTACAGAGAATTTAAGCTATAAGAAGGTGAATGATACATCAATAGTAAAATGCTGCAACATTTTTAATCGGATTAATCACTGAAGGAAAGAAATCAGTAGATCATGAATACATCTCAATTTCAATCAATCGATATATATATATATATATATATATATATATATATATAGATAGATAGATAGATATAGATAGACTATATATAGATAGACTGTATCTTTCAATTTTAAATATACAATTCCACCTTCCCCATTGAAGTCCCCCGCCATTCACTCACGTTCTTGAATGTTATGCAGGGTTTGCTTTTTCGAAAAGCATGATCTAGTTAATGCTGAGCTTATTCGTCACCTTTACATTTTAGCAGATGGTATATCCTTCTCCAATTATTAACGTGGTTACTCCCCCCCCCCAACCACCAGATCCCCGAAAAATACATGACGGCTTATACCAACGTAACCGTATCAATAACCATTTATTGACTAATGCCTTTATTAGTTGATTTAGGCGCCTGAACAGATTCAGATTAAGCTTTGGTAAAAATGCAAGCAAGCTTTATTGCATAGCATTCGTAATTATAGTCTACCGTAGGCTAGTAAATATAAATAGTAGTAGTTAGCATTTGCCGTTCGTCCTTCTATTTCGCCTATCGTGTTTTGCGGGGAGAATTTTCCGTCTAGCGGTGGCGACGTGTTCTACCTCATAAATAGAAAGCTGCTAACTCAAGCGAGGTAACTGCTCACAAGTATGTTACACATACAAAGCTTTAGCGAAAATGAAAGCATGCTTTATTGCATAACATTCGTCATCATAGTTTATCTCATGATATGGATATGTAATATCGTGGTGAGCAGTTACCTCACTTGAGTTAGCAGCCTTTTATTTATGCAGTAAAACACGCGATCGCCGTTAGACGGAAAATTCTCTTTGCATAACTCAATAGACGAAATAAAAGGACTAACGACACATGCTTACTATTAATATTAAATAGCCTACGGTAGACTATAATTACGAATACCATATGGTAGAGCTTGCTTGTATGGCTGCAGCTCTTAACTCAAAATAAGTTACTACGAATCTGTGGAAGTATCTAAATTACCTAATGAAATTAGTTAAAATTGATTACGGTTACGGTGGTATAAGCCGTCAGGTATGTGCTTTTCGTGGATTTGGTGGTTAATGGGTGATCACGTTGATAATCTGCGCAGGATTTGGTGAAATGTAAAGCTAAGGAATAATCTGATGTTTTCAATAACATTCAAAAATTGCATAACATTCAAAAACGTGAATGACTTAAATGATGAGGATTAAATCGGATATTTAGGACTGAGCGGTGCAGTCTATCAAGGATTGTTATAAATCAATATGATTTTTACCTGGTTGTACGTCTTTCACCTCTTACCTCTATTCGCTCATCGAGCACATTCGCATTGTAAATAGGTAAAGGAGTTGATGGGAGGGCATCCAATGCGACAAGATATAAAAAAAGAGCGTTTGCCATGGCTTAGGGAGAATTAATAATCACAAAACTTTGTTGCTGCTGGTTCGATCAATTATGATTCGTTCCGCTCTGGCAGTCTGACGTAGTTACGAGATTTTAAGGGAGCGTTTGCCGAACAACCACACAGCAACGATAATAGCAACAACATCGGGGGCCTATGTCTCCTTTGTTCTTGACGGTTCATTATAATCGACGACAGCCGGCTTATCGCGGCTGCAAAAGGAGCGGTTGTCAAAAGAATTGACACCAATCTAGCCTGGTCGCACTAATCACAAAGGCGATTAAAAAACACTATGTACATATATTATAAAAATATACAAACAAAAATGAATGCCGAGTACGAGGAACACCAGGAGAATGATGACAAATAATGCATAACTAACAAAAACCTTATTACCACCAACTACTAGAACAAGAAAACGTCTACAAATGTAATACAAGAAGCTTTTAGAAGGTCTCGCAGTGCTGTATCGATGGGCGGTGATATTTGTAAGTCAGCGGCCCTGACAAGGGGTGGATGAGGGATGATATCTGACTGCAGACAAGTGAATGCTTTTTGTTTAATAATAAAATAATGATCTTGAAGTAGTACGGGCGGGTAAAAGTCTGAAACCTAGATTTCCCGCGCATTTTTTGTACGACATGCTACAGCAGCAACAGCTACAGTAAGTATATAAACAGTCTGCACAAAAATCACATGGGAGGTGTCATGATAATGATGATATAGGAGAGTAGTGTCAAGGTGATGACGGGCCGACAAGTTAAAACAAAAAATAAAACTAGCGGACTGTTCCCTCCTTGAGGGAAAGTGTACATTTTGTTTTTATTCAAGAAAAATTGCTCATAAATTCAGAGAAACAAGGACCGGTTAAACGTGGTAAAGCGTACAAAGAAAAAAGTTTTTTTGAATACATGCCGGCTCACCACTCTTGCTAGGGACCGGTTTTTGAGCTTCATATACCTATTATTTATACACTTTAGTGTTTTATTTTTGTCTGAATTTGTTGTGCTATATAGGTAAGAATAAACTAGCGACTTACAACTTCTTAATGTCCTTCGGATTCTCGGGCTTTTGCGACTTATGGTGTTTGTACGAATCATTGCTGATCCTGTAATCACTAGCTTATATAGCTATACAGGAATAAGAAGTTTCATATCCCATACTGAATATGTTCCATGCTACAGAACTGATAACCAGATATAATACCCAGTGTTTGAGGACAAGCTCGATTAAAATTGTGTTTAGTACAGTACCATTCATTACAAGTGCCAAAGCGGCCAAAAAACGTCATTGACAACAGATGATATACAAATGATAATTCCGTGCAAAAAAATAACAGCATTAAATAGCACAGTTTCTTTTTTCAATATCTGCGATCTGCATTTTTGCATATAGCGTGAAAACCAAGAAATGCGGGCTAGAAATCTCAAGGTATGATCCTACTCTAAACACGTGGCCTTCACAATTATTCGTCACTTACAAATCAAGCACTATGCCATGGGTAATCACGCCCTTCAAACTTTGAGAAAGTTAAGGTGGCAAATAGGCAACGAGGATACGATGTTGCTCCGCAGGAAGACTGATTTTCTTAGGCAATAACCTAAATAAAAGCAATACTTGATCACTTAGGTGATCACATTTTTTCTGTAAATACGTATCTGAAGACAACAAAAATAATTACAAAAAGATGTCATCACAGTTTTTAACTCTAGCCTAGTACCTAATTTAACTGATTTTTAAGTGGAAGATTGTTTACTGTAGACATAGCTCGTAACGTTGTCGCACTAAACTCGAGTAAACACTCGCTCATTCTTAAGCTATGGATTTCGCACGCTTGATAACTAAGACAACATCGACAAAAAACCACACCATACGATACTATAGTCGAACAATAGAAGATAGTATTTTCGATTACCGTCTCCATAAATAAAACGATCAAACTAATAGGTTTGTAGAAATGCTTACTATAATGCCGATAAATTATGTTATAATACCTGTTTTCGTAAATATTTGTTGCAGCTTACAAACTAGTTACTATGCTTTTGACAAACATTCACACAAGCAGCTCATACTATAGTTCACAATGTAAATAATCCTTATGCCAAAAAGTGGTAGGGACGTAACAAGCATAATACGATCAGAAATCAGTGATCTCTATTATTAAAGCACGGCCGATAAGACTAACTGTGGCACCGTTTTCGTGCGTCGCATAAAATCTGCTAAAGCGCACGTACGTTTTGCAGCCGCGCGAGTGAGGCTATGGATGCTAGACAGTCTCAATTTAAGTTCATAACGCCAGCGAAGCTTCTTTAAGGCTTCATTTATATTTGTTAGACTTTTTGTTTAGATTACAGGCCCGCAGTGGAAAATAATGCAAATGCTCTAATAAAACAACTGATTTGCAAAAACGGACATAAATAAAGATACAAAATATGGCTAAAAATGCTGTTTATTAAGTAAGATCTTTTTAGATTCGGTTACTTATATCTTTGTTAAAACCAATTTGAGCTTTTATCGGTACACCCAGGTGCACATCGGCAGCGTTCAGGATGGTGCAGTGATCATATGTCTAAAAAAACTTAGTACACGAGAATTGGTTTACGTAAGAAACCAAGTAACGACATATGTCGTATTGACGGCTGAGAGAGCCTTCCGGTATTGTCTAACGGAAGTACCAGACGTAAAAGCTCAATACGCCTAGAAATAAGGCGGCAGAGATAACCGTAGTACAACTAGGACCATGTCTCAGAGATTCGGTCGACTACGTATGACAGTTTTAATACATAAACTTACGGAATTTAGTTAACAAGAAACAGAACGCAAACTGCAATCTGGTACTCTGTTATCGAAAATAACACGACGGTACAGACCGTTATTTTCTAGAAATGCCAGGAACAGTAGACACGGGAAGAGCCAAAAGATGGCCCCATGTTTACTCTCTTTTTGAACTCATATCTAAATACTTAATAATTTAGATCATACAAAAAGCTGGCATAATACCTCATGCAATTATTGGTCACAACCAATTTCAAAGGTACATGCTTACAATAAGCAAGGCCCATGTGGATATATGCGTTCTTGCGGTTCAGGGGAGACACGGGGTGGGACACAAGGATTTCAAATGCTGAGCCGACCAAATACAAAATTGAAGCTGGCAGAAGAAAGGCCACTGTGGGCGCCGGTCAAAGGCGTAGTCGAATCTATGATCAGAACGGAAACAAAATGGATCACGAACTCCATTCTTCTCGAATATTATAAGAAAGAAGAGCTGCAAAAGATATTGTCAAAAAAGAAGCCCAAACGGATGTGGAAGAATAGATTTCCGATAACTCTCCTGCCTAGAGCAATCCGGACTAATACAAGAAGCGGTATTCTCGGGGAATTACACAGAAAAATTGTAGTTCAGTGGATAGCTTTTCAGAGATCCTGAAAAAGCGTTAGGTGAACCCCGCACTCGGCTTCCCATTGTGAACTCTTGAAATAGAAACTCCGTGTGTTCCAGTCATGAATAAATGCCTTAGCCCATACGTACTAAAAAGCATAGCTTACGAAAACGCCGTAAAGTAGGTACTACTTTATAAAATACCTGCTTTATCACAAATATTTTCATCAACCGACTTTTGGCCTGTAGGACCTTATAGCCTCTGATTCTGGAGTCTCTTGAGTAATACTAAGATGTGAGATGCGCGATCTTGACTTTGTAGTGACGCAGTCTTTTTATGTTGTTCTACTATTATCGTCAGGTATTTGATGAGAATTAGAACGCCGTGACCACAAAAAGCGGTGATACAGATTTGTGCCAATCCTTCTACTTGTTTTAGTACACCAATTATTAACCATTAAAATTTTTTTTATAAATTAGATTATTATTTTTGTATATTAAATAACTTCGTATATGAACTGTGGTTACTACGACGGTCATCCAAAAAGGGGCCTACGGCATAACTAAGCCCATTTCAGTTTCCTGCGGAAATTTTTGAAAAACAGGTTTATACTGCGAGTATCAGCTTTGATGCATACTAATATATGCAATGATTCTCGCCATTGATTGTTGACTATTCGGTCTGTGGGTCTAGGTTTTACAATTATAGGTACTGAACAGAACGTTTTAAATTTTACGTCCGGTATCACCATCAGGCATTCCATCAGACAGCTGGCTCCTAGTACGAAAAAAAACTGTCTGTGCCGGGTTTCGAACCCTGAACACAGTGTATCCCAAATATTAGCATGCAGATTTTCTACCCATTAAACTACCACGAAGGTTAGTAAGAACTATAAAAAGGCAATATTCCATAACCATTTCTCGACACTAAAACTCAACGATGACAGCATATTTGTGATTACCATGGCAACACACAGAGATGTGTATTAAACACCCAGGTCATTCCACTCTCAGAAAACCATCTTTACCCAGTCCTAGAAAATATTTGCCAAACTGCGGGTAAATTTTCTTTACCATTCAATTGATAAAATCGTAGATACAAATAAATGATGAATCCAAAGGTTGAGGATCTTCTTTGATATTAAAATCACATCTGCGATTTTTCTAAGGGAAAGTTGACCGGCGTTTCTGATATTAAATCTTCATTTGACATGATTACCCATTACGTTTCTTTGATAAAATTAGGCAAACACGAGGCCGATTAGACACATCGTTGGAAAAAAGCATCAAGTGTCAGTAAGGGAACGAATGTCGAAGTTATCTTAATCCAGTTGAGAAGCTTTTGTAATCGAATTTTGCTACCAACGCATCCTAGGCCGCAAATGCAAGCCCATGTAATCCAGTAGCCGTGATCCATCATGAATATCTTAATAACTAAACAAAAAAATTCTCATTGTGAAAGTAGATAACTAAGCAAAACGGAATACAAGCATGCGCAAGTTTAAGTAAAAGCTCCTGTTTTTTTTTATTAATATGTTAATTATTCCTAAAATACAATCATTAGGACCGGTACTGTAATATATATATCCTTAACAACAACTACGTATTAGAGTCTCCTAATCTTTTAATGGCTAGGGGCCCTCGAGAGACACTGCCTTATCAAGTAGCATCCTCAGACAGCTGATCCAACTTAAATTTTATCGGATCATGCCGCTTCCTAACTCAAATGCTGTCAACGCGCTTAGTTTTAGCTATAGGCACTATAGTGTACGGCAGTCTTGTCCACGACTATATTTTTCAAAAACTGACTAACGTGCTTTACAAACTTCAGTTATAATGTCACACACAGACGAGTATTAAAAAAATCGTATGCACGTTATGAAGATATTTAGAGCAAGAAAGATCAAATTTTCCATAGCCGAACAATACATTTTTAAATAATCAGTATATTTTATATATTTTTTTTTAATACAAACGTAGCATACAGTAATGGAAAATGCGGCTTTTCTGAGCAACGCTAGAGGCTGCTTAGTAACGTTGGCTTTTGTTACTGCATGTTTCTTCATCTAGTCACACTTGTCGTGTAGTTTATGTCATTGGCGGGATTCCAACCAGCATTGTTGTCGAACAAAAGGCAAAAAGAGCGATTAACTGAATATAAACGAAACCACTTTATCGTGGCATCATGAATATCTAGATGTCTCATCTTTTCTAACAACGGAGTACAGTAATTTTATCTGTTTAAATCGGTAAGTTGAAACCTTCCAAATTATCAGACATTTCTAAGACAATCAAACTTTGAGAATTATTTATATTATCTCGTTTTTAGAGATTTCAGCATAGTTGCTTTAAATGTTCATTATAATATGCTTCAGCATTTGATCTATAGTAAAAATGTTTGTTAGTAAAAACATTACTTTTTGATAAGCC